GGGGTGATGACTTCTCAACGTGATGCCATGCTCAACCTCCGAGCGGGTTTGCGCTGGTGGCTCGTCTTCGTGGATGGATCCTCAACAGTGAGGTGCTCAACCGTTGGACGCAATCGGGCCGGCGCGGGAGAGCTCAACGGAGGGATCGGCTGGTATCTAGGTGTTTCAAGGCCCGTCTTTCGACAGTAGGATCACGGGAGATCAAAAGTTCAACCAAACTCAGGTGTCGACGATGCGCGGTATGGACGCTGAGAGGCCAGCAGACAGGTGTAGTGAGATGGCAAGAGAAGAAGTAGGATAGGCGTGATTTGATAGGCATGCATGCATCTCGAGCCCATGATATTCGTGTCTCGCTATCACATAGAGCGCATATCGCAAGAAGTGCCAGAAAGATGGCCCAGCATCGCTAACCAGAACTGCGTCCTCCATTAGCCAAAGTCTCGTACAAAGTCTTCGCAGAATGTGAGGCGCTCAGCTCGCTGTCTCCGCCTCCTTCTCGCCAGCGGCAACGACTTCACCCTGACCCTCGGCGATTGCCTCGTGCGGCATGCCACTGGCCTGCTCCAGCTTATCGGCGACCTCGCCCTTCCCACTATCTGCCTCGGCGGGCTCCCTGCTCTCCTCCTTGCTCCTGACGGCCTGCCCCAGCCTCGTCACCAAGTCGGCGAACCGCCCCTTACCCTCATCAGGACCTGCGCCATGCCCTCCTGTACCATCCACAACGTTGGCCACTGTGCGGTAATTCTCCCTTTCCTTGACAAAGCGTGTAAGGTACATCGTCGGTTTCCTCGCCGGATTGGCCATGATGCGCTGCACCTCCTCCTCGTACGCCCGGTCGTAGACATTAAAGTCGGCATTCGTCGGTGACTCGGCCACCGTGTCGGCAGTCAAGGGCTCGCCAAACTCGTCGCACGCGCCGGTGCCGATACCGAGGAAGAGGGGCTCCAGCTCGGTCAAGAGCTCAGGAACCGCTTCGGGGCGTGGGGACGCGGCCCTGCTTCCGTCGCCGGTGCCGCGGCTCGAGTTGTGGCGGGCGATAAAGTTGCGACGGCGCTCGACGAGAGCCTCAATCTCCTCGGCGCGGGCGCGGGCCTCGGCCGGGTCGAAATCAGACTCCTTGGGGGCAGGCAGAGCGTCGTCTCTGCGGTTGGCGGCGTTGGCGCGGTGTCGTGCTAGGACGACTTTGAATTTCTGGATGGCCTTCATGACGCAGAGGAGATGATTCATCTTCCTGGTGAAAGCGCGGTTCAGTTCAAGCTCGTTAGGGGGGTCGACAAGCATCGCACAATTATCGTCTTCCGAGAGCAGGGGGTCGGCGCCTTCCTTGGTGACCCAGGGATGATGCTGCGGGTGTGGTTAGCAAGGCTTCACGTGTACCACTGTGGCGGATGGCGTGCTTACCCATAGGTCGGCCATCTTGATGCGGTTCTGGGGGTCTTTCTCGAGGATTTTGCTTAGGAGGTCTGCCAAGTGAGGATTCTCATCGTCTGGCACCTCGTGAGGATCGCTTTTTATCGCCTCGTATATCTCCAAGACGCCGTCGTGGCTGAAAGGCAGCTTGCCGTAGCGCAGGCAGAACAGAGAGACGCCCATGGACCAAATATCAGCAGCCTTGCCCGAGACGTCACCATGGCGGGCCACGCAGAGCTCAGGGGCTAGAAAGGCGGGGGAGCCGGCCGACTTGGCCGTCATCATCCTGTCTGGCTTCTCGAACATTTCCGAGACGCCAAAGTCGACGACCTTGAGAACCTCGTCTTCCGTCAGAAGAAGATTGTCCGGCTTAATGTCGCGGTGAATGACACCTTGGGCGTGGACTGGAGCTAGTCAGGTCTGGGGTAAAACAGGAGAGGGCACCAAATAGGAGACCTACGATACTCGATGCCCAGAATCAGGTCGCGGAACCAGCAACGGCAGCACTCCTCACTGTAGGGCGTCGCCGTCTCCCCGAGGCCGACTTTCATGACGACACCACGGTTGCACATTTCGAGCACCATGTACAGCGAGTCCTCTTCGGGGTCATCAAGCACCTCGATCAACTGAACGAGGTTTGGGTGGTTCAGCTTCTTCATGATGGCGATTTCTTCTCGGATGAGAAACAGGGCGTCCTTCTCGTCTGCAGCGGAGGGCGCGCCAAGCGAGCCAAATGCCGTGGCAGGGGGAGACAGCGGTCCATTGAGGCCCGAGCGAGAGAAGCGTTGAGGGCGCCGCGGGCCCTGGCGGAGCATGCTCGACTGTATGCGCTTGCGCAACCTCGCCTTGGAAAACTCCTTGACGGCCTGGGGCAGGTAAGCACGGTCAAACTGAATGTGATAGTCGGCGGATGACTGACATATTCGGTACCAAACTGATCGACAGCGAGGTGGACGGCGCCGTAGGAGCCTCGGCCAATCTCCTCCTTGATGATGTACTGGTTGATGCGGTGGTGGCTCTGGCCCTCGTCCCCTTCGCCGGGGTACTCTGTGCGGGCGTCGAGAGTCTCCTTGACCTCGCGGTGGGCGGATGGTGTGCGACGGTGGTGGCGCATGGGGCTGTGATAGCTCTTGGTGTGTGCTGTGGGTTCCGAGCTGCGTTTGATACGACGTCCCATCAGATCCCAGAATGTAGGTAGTTTCAGAAACAAAGAGTGGTGGAGATGGGCAGCGGGGATGGCTGAGGCGGTGCAGGATATCATATGCAGCCCTACGGTGATGTGCGTGCGGCGCGGGGTGGATGAGGGTGAGACCAGACCAAGGCATTGGATTTGCGAGAAGGCTGGACGTACATGTGAGGGGTCAGGGGTGGACGAGGCTCGGAATCGGAACCGTCGCCGCTATGGATGGCAATCTCGGGCGAGGACAGGCTTGCTGCCGGTATCTCGGGATCGGCCATTGTACTGTTGGTGATGTTGGAAGAGGAGGAGGAGGGAGGAGGGAGGGGTGAAGTGCGCAACAGGATAAGGTGCCTGTGAGATGAAATGGCACGAGGGAAAAAAAAAGGAGGCAAGTCAAGAAGAATGAAGATGGAAAAAAAAATAAAAAGAATAGGAAAGAACGCGTGTCGCTGGAGCAGGGGTATGAAGGCAAGTTGAAGGCCTCAGCGTCAGCAGTCTTGGGCCTGGGAAGGTGTGAAGCAGTGATGATGGGGGCAGGTTTGAGAAGGCAAGGGCGGCAAGGCTGTGGGTATGGATGGGTATAGCAGCACAGAGAGAAAAGAAGCACGGCAGTCCGCAGTTTAGCAGTCCCTCTGGTGGCAGTCCCTCTGGTTGCAGGCCTTGGTGGCCGGGCACTGCACAGCCAGCTGGGCGCACTTCAGCTCGTCTGACAGGCAAGCGCGTGCGGGATGGCGCTTGGGATTCGCGAGCTTCCGCAGCTGTGTGATGGCGGCTTCGACTGCCCCTCATTTTGCCAGCCTTGGGGGCAGCAGCCGAGGACCCCCACCCACCAAGACCAAGGTACCTGGCCTGCCTTGCCTGCCTACCTAGCAAGCTGAGCATCGCACCAAAGTACCCGTGCCCCGCGTCTCCACCAAACCCCCTGGAAGCAGCATCTGACCGACCCTGACCGAGACGACACCTCGAACTGCCTCTCCACGCGATACACCTAGGCTCGAGCTGTCTATCAACCAATCCGCGACCCCATCACGAACCACACTGCGACCTCCAATCTAGCCTCCACCTGCAATTGACCAACCCCCCTGGAGTCTGGCAGACCTGATACGGAAACGGAAACAAAGAGGACGAGCATCAGGACGTGCCACGCATTTCGTCGGCGCGGCAGCCCAACAGAGAGCCCTAGCTCGCCGTCACCATGCCAGTCTACTCAATATACATCTTTGACCGTCACAGTATGTTCTATCATCTCCTCTCCTGAACCTCACCGCCCGGGTCTGGCTCCCCTATGCTAACGCCAATCCAAAGCCGACTGCGTCTACTCCAAAGCCTGGCTCCCACCGCCCTCGCGTCCCCTCTCCCAATCCTCGACCTCGACCACCGCCCTCCAACACCAGCAACAGCAACAACAACAACAGCAGCAGCAGCAGCAACCACCACCGCCGGCCCCCGCCCCCGTCTACCCTCACCACCACGCCTCCTCCAGCGACGACGCCAAGCTCGTCTTCGGCACCGTCTTCTCCCTGCGCAACATGGCCCGCAAGCTCGGCGGCGACGACGACGCCTTCATCTCCTTCCGGACCGCCACCTACAAGCTGCACTACTACGAGACCCCTGCCAACCTGCGCTTCGTCATGCTCACCGACACGGGCGCCCTCAGCATGCGCAACGTCCTGCACCAGATCTACATCAACCTCTGGGTCGAGTACGTCGTCAAGAACCCCCTCGCCCCCGTCGAGCACAAGGGCGGCGCCGGCGTGCGGAACGAGCTGTTCGAGCTTGGCCTTGACCAGTTCGTCCGGGGGCTGAGCTGAGCTGTATTGTGCCTGTTGCGCCTGTTGTGCCTGTGGTGCCCGTGGTCGTCGGAGCTGGTAGTGGCTTGGTGTGGCGGGTACGATGTGTTCTTTGCATGAAACCCTGCGGTGCTGGGTGCCACGAGATTACGATCATCTTGACATTGGTGGCCATAGATTTTGTAGCGTTAGCTTTTCATGTTTTTTTTTTCTCGTTTATAGAGGCTGGTTTGGGCCCTGCTATAACTGCTCAATCTGTGTTCATATTTTCTGGAGCTCGGTTTCTTGTGCGATCGTCATCTCACTTATGCTGTGCGCATGTCTTGGTCAGAATGTCACGCGTTGACTTGGTCTTTCTGATCAATGAGGCCAGACATGCAAAAGCCTGTTCAAAGTGTTGGCAAAGATTTGAGCGAGCAAAAGTATGCCTCCAGCGACACGGGAGTTCTCACGCGGCAAAGAAGCGCTATCTAGCTGGAGGACAGTCTCCACATACGTGGCAGACGGCCTGGACGACTGTGGATCACGAGGCACCTCACTTCACCATAGCATTCACCAGGTGCATGACATGGCATTATATTGGTACACGGCGTTTTTTGTTCTTGGTCCCCCCAATCTACTCACTTCTGCTGCGCCCTGCTCCAGGCATCCTCGAGACTCGGCTGGCGATCGACAAGCACGATGCTCTCTTCGCCCGACCCCGCCGCCGGCCTGTCGCCGCCGTCCTTGGCCTCGGCCACGCCCGCCGCGAGGTTCTGGTCCCGCATGACCTCGTTCTCCCAGTTGCTCGAGTAGACGACGGCCGCGAAGCCCTCGAGGTCGCGCACCCGCTCCATCTCCCGGAGGTACTCGTTCGGCATGCCGTTGCCGATGAGGTGCGCCTGGCGCGTCAGCACCGACAGGATGCGCGGCAGCTGCACGACCCTCGTCGACCGCAGGCCGTCCTCCTCTGTCGGCAGCTTCGTGCCCAGCGGCGCGCCGCCGACGAGGACGCCGTCCATCGAAGGACGCGCGGCGGCGGCGGCGGCGGCGGCAGCCAAATCCTCGTCACCCTGCGGCGGCAGCTCGAACGCCGTCGTGGCGACGCGGCGGTCGACGAGCTCGGAGAAGCCCGCGTCGAGAAGCTCGGTCAGCACGTGCACGAAGGACGGCGACTCGATGAGATCGGACGTCTCGTCGAGGAGCCTCCGCAGCGAAGCCGAGGCCGAGGCGGCGGCGTGGGCGCCGAGGTCCACGGTGCTGCCCTCGACCTCGTCGAGGATGCCCGACGCGCGGATGACGTCGTCCTCGCTGGCGCGGTCGGGCAGCAGGTAGGCCAGCCAGACGGGGTTGGCGCGGCGGGCCTCGCGCGTGTCGCCCTCGACGAGCCTGCGCACGTCGAGGGTCAGCTCGGCGAAGCGCTCAAAGGAGAGGAGGTCGCGCGGGCTCAGCTGGCCAAAGACCTGGCGCACGGCGGCCTCGACGCGGACGCTGAGGTCGCGCCAGCCGCGGTTGAGGAGCCACCAGCTGAAGGCGAGGTATTTGCGGTTCGTATCAAAGTCGTTGCCGTACGCGTGGTCGGGGCTGTCGTCGTCGTTGTTCTCGAGGCTGATGGGCGCCGAGGCGGCGCCGCCGGCCGCCAGCGACACGACGCTCGAGAGGTAGCTGCGGCGGCCGAGGAGGTTGAGCTGCACGCGGGTGAGCATGGTGAGGAGGGCGAGAGTGTAGAGAAGGGTGAAGGAGCGCGTGATGGCTGGATGTTCTGGTTAGCTGAGATGGGCCCCCCAGGGCAGGCCTCAATGGGTTAGGGAATACGCACAGCTGATGGTCAGGTCGTCCCAGAGCTGCCGCTTCGTCTTTCTGGGCTTCTGCGGCTGCTGTGCCGAGATGGCCGGGGCCGCGGCACCTCCGTCCTGGGCGCCCTCCTCCTGCGTCGCTGCTGTCGATGGTGTGGGCGGCGCAGGCGGTGGCACGGCAATCTGGCTCGCGTGCACGCCGCTCTCGCTCTGGGCGCTGCTGGGTGCGACGCTGCTCCTGGCGTCATCCTCGGTCAGGGTCGTGTCGGCGATGCTCGGCGCGCCGGCCTGACCTCCGTTTGTGACGGCGCCAGCTTTCTGGCCCTTCATCGTCTGGATCTCGTACGTGATCCTCTCGGTATCGAGGGCTTCGAGAATGTTGGATGTGGCGGTCGGCAGCAGGGCGAGCACCGTGAAGGTACAGTCCTCCTGGTTCTGCTCGAAGCGGCGGCGCAGGTTCTCCTTGGCGATGCGGTCGCTGCTCATGCGCTCGCGCGCGTCGCTGAGCTTCGAGAGGACATATTGGGTCGCGACATAGCCAGCGCCCACGATGCCGACGCCGACGGCGAGGGGCGTTCGATTGCGGTTGAACCACCGCCGTGTTGCGGCGAGCATGGCGGTCGGATGTCAAGTGGGTTTGTGGGTGTGAAGGGCGGAGGGCGGCGGCAGGCGAGCTCGGGCTCACGATGTGCCCGATGTCGCAATGTAGTACTGTTGGGTTCAGAGTGGCTGCGGAGGAGAGGAGGGGGGGGAGGGAGGAGGAGGGGATATGGAGAACTCGGTCAGGAGGGGATCGTGTCTAGGTATCTAGTTCCAGTCTTGTTCATCACATGCCACTCTATGATGCTCCACGCCGGGATGGGACATGGATGTCGCGAGACGATGATGAAGTGGTTGGTCGTACTAGAGGAATGGGTGAGCCGTGCTTCAGTCGCGGCTCCGGTGCCTTACCTCGGCCCAGCCACATGTGGCTTAACTTGGGTACGTACCGCACTCTCGAGGACGGACCTTACCCTGTCTTGCCTGTGCACTGACGGATCGATGCACTGACTGATCGAGTGCGCTACTGTATTTCTATTCCTTGGTGAGGAACTGTGATGGACAGCCTGGTGTTCTGTCGTCAGTTGTTGGCAATGGTATACTCAGCGCGTGTACAGATGTGAATCCGTACGAAGTAGGATGCAGAGGAAGCCGACCAGGGATTGATGCAAGCACAACCGTCAAGCGATCGCTATAATGGTATACTACTCCTACTACTACTCCTACTACTACTCCTACTACTACTACTACTACTACTACTACTCCTACTACTACTACTACTACTACTACTACTACTACTACTACTACTCCTACTACTACTACTACTACTACTACTACTACAACTACGAGAAGGAGTTCCCAACGACGGCAGACGTATTTCCAGGCGCTAGGATCGCCGTACCCGCTCGGGTGGCCATGGGCGCCCAAAGTGACAGACGCATGAGCTCCCAAGGCGCCTTACGTAGGTACCTAGCCAGGTCGGCCGGCAGGTCGGCAGGCAGGTCGGCAGCAGGTGGCAGGCACCCACAGTGTGCTTCCGTAGGCACGTGACGTCGACGGTCGTGCCGCGAAGCAGGTTCGAAAAAACTGTCCGTCCGCCATCTGGTCCTGCACGGCCCGCACAAACATCAACTTGCTGAGGCAGAGGGAACTGCGCCAAAGACCCGTCCAGATCCGAGCCATTACTCCAGCGCGTCGCCCGGTGCTCGCCGTTTCTGTTCTGCATTTTCCTTCATTTTTTCCGCATTCCAGTTGCCCACCATGTCGGACCCCAACTCGACTGAGGCCGAGAAGAACGTATGTCGCTCTGTTCCCCCCTGGCGTGGCCATTTTCGCACCGCCGGCCCGCGCCCGCCCCTCTTTGCCCCGCGTTCTCACCAAAAAACTGACCATGTCGCCCTGCGCCCATAGATCGAGATATGGAAGGTCAAGAAGCTCATCAAGAGCCTCGAGGCCGCTCGCGGTAACGGAACGAGCATGATCTCCCTCATTATCCGTACGTCACGAACCCCCCTCCAACTACGTCATTTGCGTGCGCTCTTGGTCGACAAAATCGCTGACCATGCCCCTTCGCATCGCAGCCCCCAAGGATCAAGTCTCCCGTGCTGCCAAGATGTTGGCTGAAGAATACGTATGTGTCCCCGATGCTTCGCGGTCCCTCCTCCTCCCCCCGAAAAGGATTGTTCGGCCACAGCCGCTGACGCTGCACCTCAGGGTACCGCCTCCAACATCAAGTCGCGAGTGAACCGACAGTCTGTCCTCTCCGCCATCACCTCGACCCAACAGCGTCTCAAGCTCTACAACAAGGTGCCGCCCAACGGCCTCGTCGTCTACTGCGGTGAAATCCTCACCCAGGAGGGCAAGGAGCGCAAGGTCAACATTGACTTTGAGCCCTTCAAGCCCATCAACACGTCGCTGTACCTCTGCGACAACAAGTTCCACACCGAGGCCCTGTCCGAGCTCCTCGAATCCGACCAGAAGTTCGGCTTCATCATCATGGACGGCAACGGTGCCCTGTTCGCCACCCTCAGCGGCAACACGCGCGAGATTGTCCACAAGTTCTCCGTCGATCTGCCCAAGAAGCACGGCCGTGGTGGCCAGTCGGCCCTGCGTTTTGCCCGTCTCCGTGACGAGAAGCGCCACAACTACGTCCGCAAGGTCGCCGAGTTGGCCGTCCAGAACTTCATCACCGCCGACAAGGTCAACGTCGCCGGTCTCATCCTCGCCGGTTCCGCCGATTTCAAGAACGACCTCAACGCCTCCGATCTGTTCGACGGCCGTCTGCAGACCAAGGTCATCAAGGTCGTCGACGTGTCGTACGGCGGCGAGAACGGCTTCAACCAGGCCATCGAGCTGTCCTCCGAGACGCTGGGCAACGTCAAGTTCATCCAGGAGAAGAAGCTCATCGGCAAGTACTTTGAGGAGATCAGCCAGGACACGGGCCGCATCTGCTACGGCATCGAGGACACGCTCAAGGCCCTGGACCTCGGCGCCGTCGAGACGCTCATCGTCTTTGAGAACCTCGAGATCACGCGCTACGTCCTCAAGGACAGCGAGGGGGCCGAGATTGTCATCCACACGACCAAGCAGCAGGAGACGGGCGACCGCTCGCAGTTCATGGACAAGGCCACCGGCCAGGAGATGGACATTGTGAGCCAGGAGTCCTTCCTCGAGTGGGTCGCCGAGCACTACAAGGATTTCGGCGCCACGCTCGAGTTCGTCTCGGACAGGTCGACCGAGGGCAACCAGTTCGTCAAGGGCTTCGGTGGCATCGGCGGCCTCCTCCGCTACAAGGTCAACTTTGAGCAGCTGGCCGATTTCGACGATGATGATGATGATTACTACGATGATTGACCGACCGAATCCCCTAGCGGGGGATCGACCCAAGTGTCCACGTCCCTGCCTGATGACGGGAAGGAGTGCACCCTGGGCGCCAGCAAGCCCGAGCCAGAGCCAAGCACCAGTGTCGCGCGTCGGAGCATGACGACTGGGTCGCGGAAGCGGCTGGCCTCGGGCTACCAGACGGCGCGCCCGAGCCCGCTCCGCACTGTCATGATGGCCACTTGAGTCACGAACAGCGAGATTGGAGGTGAACCGCCCCCCTGACCCTTGACGCAGGCAGATGACCTTGGCCTGGCGAAGGAGCGAGCTGACTGACATGGCTAGATGCGTCCGCCTCTTTCGGCCAGTCGAGAAAAAAGCCACATGCTTTCGCCTCAAGCGACTGATGGGAAGGGGGTGGGGGGTGCGGTTGGGTTGACGATGATGTCTGCTTAGACTAGCCGCGTCATGATAAAAAAAAAGGGGGCAGCTAGGAAGATAGACCAGTCGTCTGTGCATTACAAAGTGTTTTCACTCCGAGTTGTGTCCCGCATTTGTGTGATGTTTTGGTGAGACGGCAGAGTGGCGTGTTGGAGGAGTGATTGTTTCGTTTTGGTGGGCAGCGGGAGTGTGCAAGCTCTTCCTCTGCGATGCTGGCAGTCACGGAGGACCACACAAAAGTCTGGCGATCGATGATCAGAATGACCGAGTGAATGGAGCAAACTACAGATAGTGCAGTGCGAGATGTCGTTCTCCTAAGACCGATCGTACTCAGAAGAGACCAGCCGCCCAGTTGCTCATTTCTCCCTTGGTCCCTGCACACATCTTGATGCGCACAGACCAACACAGACCAGTAGCCTCGCAGCCTCACAACCAGGAACCTCAACTTTGAAAGCCAGAGGAAGCTAGAGCAATCATTTCCTCTTGCTTGCTCCCAGCTCCCACACACTGCATCCTCGACCATCCCCCATCTCCCACCGGACGACCGAACGCATCTCACCACGCCATGCGCTGAGATACACGCGCCTCACCATGTCGACACAGCGCAACGGCACGTCCAACGGCGCCAATGGCGCCTACGCGACGCCCACAAGCAAGCGCTTCTCCGACATTCCCTCTGCGATCGACGTGCCCGTCCATGGCGAAGCCGAAGACGAAGCCGTCGAGATTGACCTCGAGGCCCTCTTCGATGATCCCACAGAAGTCTGCACGCTGCTGGAGAACGAGCGAGCGGCACGCACATATTGGATGACCGTGGCCCTCGCCTACGCCAAGCAGAAGAACATCGACCATGCCATCGAGATGCTGGTCCGTGGCGGCCATTCCATGCGCGACAACACCCCGCGAGAAAAGCTCAGCCTCATCGGATGCCTGTGTTGGATGTACCTGTGGAAGGTCCGCGAGGCCCCGCGCCTGCCCCCCGACGGCGTGCCGGCGAGCGAGGCCAAGACGAAGGAGCACTACCTTCAGCTGGCGACGTCGACGCTCAACGACGCATCACGCATCAACCCCGCGTTCCCGCCCTTGTTCCTCGCGCGCGGTGTTCTGCAGCTGCTGCGCGCGTCGCTGCAGATCCCCAAGGCCACCGGTCTCGGCAAGCTGGACAACGAAAAGGCAGACCTGCTGCGGGCGGCGCTCAAGGCGTTTGAGGACGCCATTCGCGTGTCGCAGGGCAAGAACATGCTGGCCGTCATGGGCAAGGCGAGGGCTCTCTTCTCCCTCGGCAAGTTTCCCGAGTCGCTCGCCTGCTACCAGGAGGTGCTCGGCAAGATGCCCGATCTCGTCGATCCCGACCCGCGAATCGGCATTGGCGCCTGCTTCTGGCAGCTGGGGTTCAAGGACGACGCGAGGAGCGCCTGGGAGCGCTGCCTCGAGATCAACCCGGACCACAAGGTCGGCAACATCCTCCTCGGCCTCTACTACCTCGACGCAAGCGGCCACGTGCCGACAAACAGCCCCGACTTCATCCGTCTCTACAAGAAGGCCATGACCGAGTACACGCAAAAGTCCTTCAAGCTCGACAAGAACATGCCCCTGACCTGCGCCACGTTCGCCAACTACTTCCTCTCCCGCAAGCAGCTGGGCACCGTCGACACGCTCGCGCACAAAGCCATCCAGTACACCGACGTCAACGCCATCGCCAGCGACGGCTGGTACCTCCTGGCCCGCAAGGAGCACCACGAGGGCGACCCCAGCAAGGCGTCCGACTACTACCGCCGAGCCGACGATGCCAGGGGCGGTGCGGACCGCGGCTACCTGCCCGCCAAGTTTGGCGCGGCGCAGTTGTCCGTTATGAGGGGCGACCTCGCAGAGGCCAAGCTGACGCTGGAGAAGATGGTCCAGCAGTCCAAGCACCACGAGGCCTTGGTCCTCCTCGGCACGCTCTACGCCGAAGAAGTGTTTGCGAACCAGGACCTGGACGCCAAGGAAGACAAGTCGGCCGAGACGAAGAAGGCCATTGGGCTCCTGGAGAGCGTGCGCGGCGCGTGGCGGGACTCGAAGAAGAACCTCAACCCCGACGCGGCCGTCCTGCTCAACCTCGCCCGCCTCTACGAGGCAGAGCACCCCGACAAGGCGCTGCACTGTCTGCTGCAGGTCGAGCAGCTCGAGATGGACCTTGTCAGCGCGGCAGACCGGCCGCCACCCGAGACGGACGAGGCCGAGACGAAGAGGGCTCTTCGCCGGTTCCTGCCGCCTCAGCTGCTCAACAACATTGGCTGCTTCTACTCACAGTCGGAGAGGCACGAGCAGGCCAGCGAGCTGTTCGAGGCGGCGCTGGACGCGTGCATGAAGCTCGGCGAAAAGGACGAGGACGCCGACGTCGACGCGCTCGTCACGACCATCAGCTTCAACCTCGGCCGCAGCTACGAGTCCCGGGGCATGCTAGACGATGCCGTCAAGGTGTACGAGGAGCTCCTCAAGCGTCACGACGACTACACAGATGCCCGCGTTAGGCTCGCGTACATCAAGCTGCGCAAGTTCCCTCACAAGGAGGGCCCCGAGGCCGTGTCCAAGCTGTACAAGGAGAACGCGAGGGATCTGGAGGTGCGCGCTCTGTACGGCTGGTACCTGGGCAAAGTGCCGTCGCGGAAGAGGTCAGGCAACATCAACGAGGACGACGAGTTCCGTCACTACAAGCACACGCTCCGCGACCACGACAAGCACGACCGCTACGCGCTGGTCGGCGCCGGCAACCTGCACCTGCTGACGGCGCGCGAGATGCGGCGCGAGAGCGACAGCGACAAGGCGAAGCGCAGCGCCATGTACACCAAGGCGGTCGAGTTTTTCGAGAAGGCGCTCTCGCTGGACCCTCTCAACGCCTACGCCGCGCAGGGCATCGCCATCGCGCTGGTCGAGGACAGGAAGGACTACAAGACGGCGCTGGGCATCTTTGTCAAGATTCGCGACACGGTCAAGGACGCGCACGTGTTTGTCAACCTCGGTCACATCTACGCCGAGCTGCGGCAGTACTCGAAGGCCCTCGAGAACTACGAGACGGCGCTGTCGAAGGAGGGCAAGAGCAACGACCCCGTCATCCTGGCGTGCTTGGGCCGTACGTGGCTGAACAAGGGCCGCTCGGAGAAGAACCTCGACGCGTACAACCAGGCACTGTCGTATGCGAAGAAGGCAAGTCACATACGAAAAGGGCGCGCATGCATCTCTACGTCATGACGGCTAACATTTTTGTCACAGGCTCTCGAGGCTGCGCCGGAGCAGGTGCACTACAAGTTCAACGTGGCTTTCGTGCAGATCCAGCTGGCGTCGACGATCTACCTGCTGCCGGAGACGGGCCGCGTGCTGCAGCAGCTGGTGGACGCGCAGGAGGGGCTCGAGGCGGCCATCACGGCGCTCGACGAGATTGCGGCGCACCCGCAGACGCCGTACCCCAAGCACGACGTGGAGCAGCGTGCCAACATGGCGCGCAACACGCAGCGCAAGCAGCTCGAGAGGGCGATTGCCAGCCAGCGGGAGTACGAGGAGAAGAACAAGGAGAAGCTGCAGGCGGCGCTCGAGCAGCGGCAGACAGAGATGCGCAAGCGCGAGGAGGTGCGGGCGGCGGCGCTGGCGATCGAGCGGGAGAAGCAGGAGAAGCTCCAGGCGGAGCGCGAGGCCATTGCGGCGCGGGACCGGGAGATTGCAGAGAGGCGGGCCGAGGAGGAGAAGGCGCGGGCCGAGGCCGAGATGACGACGGACAGCGAGACGGGCGAGAGGGTCAAGCGCAAGCGCAAGGCGGCGGCACCCCGGGGCGCGGCGGGCGAGGGCAAGGCCAAGAGGGGCGCGCGCAAGAAGAAGGGCGGCGACGACTCGGAGGGCGAGGACGAGGACGAGTCGGAGGAGGAGGAGCGGCCGAAGCCGAAGAAGAGACGTCTCGCCAAGAAGGAGACCGAGAAGCCCGGCAAGTTCAAGTCGGCTGAGATTATCGTCGACAGCGACGAGGACGAGGAGGCGCAACGCGACGAGGACGACGAGGAGGACCCCCTCGAGCGGGCTGAGAGGGCGCTCGCACGGAGCGGTCGCGCTGCGTCCCATGACGGGCGCGACAATGGCGACGACGAGGGCGATGACCGCATGGACGTCGACGCCGGCAGAGGGGGTGACAATGATGACGAGGAGGACGACGATGCCGAGGTCACGCGGCGACAGCAGAGCAAGCGTGCCCGACGCGGTCGCGTCGTCGAGAGCGACGAGGAGGACGAGGAGGAAGGCGACGAAGGTGTCGCGGCAGGCCACCGATCAGGGGACGACGACGTGGCGGCCGCCAAGGCTGACACCAGCATGGCCGATGCCGAGGACGATGACGAGGCGTGAAGACTGAGAAGAGAGGGACTCTCTGGTGTCAAGGTTGAAGCTGTCGCCGGCCAGGGCGTCCTCGATCCCGTGTATGCATAGTAGAGGCAGGAGAAAAAAGGGCGGCAAGGCGTTCCCAGAATGGTTATTCAGACAGACACAGGATGAGAATTGGTTGCTATCATGGTGTCTGGCGTTGTGCCTGTTAGGATGAATGTGCTTGGTGTGACATGCTGTTCTTGGACTCAGACTGCTCTCTCTCTTTCTCTGCCTCTCTGCCTCTCTGTCTATCTGCCTCTCTGTCTCTCTGTCTCTCTGCCTCTCTGTCTCTCTGCCTCTCTGTCTCTCTGCCTCTCGCTCGCCTGCTGTCTCTCTACCTACACGGAGCCTCACCGTCAGCAAGTCACGATGTGAACCATGATGCACCATACTCCCCCCAAGCTAGCGGAGCTACTCCGCAGCGGCGAGCCGCAAGTGGCAAGGAGACCAGGTTTGGGCGAGAGTTTGGGCGAAGGGACCCCCCTCCCTCCTCTCCACGCCGTCCCGTGCTGTTCAATTGCAGCGAGCATTGGTGGCGTCTGCGAGAGGCCATTGGCCAGTCGTCGTGCCATGGGTTCTGCGATGCCCAGATACCCCATGGAGAACCGGGGCGAGAGGGCGAGTTTCCCGATCGGCAGCGGGGGACGGCCCCTCTGCTGTGCCATTTGCACCGAGGATTCTCCCGCCCTGGGCTGCCCGTGTCTTTTGTTCGGTGCTGGTGTTTTTGGAGAACGTCACGAGGGGGAGGAGGGGCAGACTTTCTTGCCTGAGGGGGAATTGACGATGTTTGTGTCGGGTATAAAGGGGGCCCTCGGCGGACGGTATGTCGTAGCGTTGGGGTCGCGGCTGTTTGCATCATTGACTTTGCGTTGCCTTGCTCGTCTTCTTGTCGAGTTGTAGAGCTGTCTCCTAAGGTTTACCTCGGAGCTGTGGTTTAAAGATCTCGGGTCAGGACCTTGACTGAAGAAGGCACCTGAGAAGCGCTTCACTCGCACCTGCACTTGGAGATCCTCGACCAGCTCCTTCCCCTGCTGCTCTTGCCCCTCCTGCCTTTACCCCTCCATCTCAGCCTCGCTCTTCCCTATTCTCCGCCTCTTCCTCTTCCTCAGCCTCGCTCTTCTCTCTTCCTCTTCCTCTTCTCCCTGCCTCTCTATTCCTCTAGACCCAACATGGGCTCCGTGGCCAATAACCCCACGCCCTGGTGGAAGGATGCCACCGTCTACCAAATCTACCCCGCCAGCTTCAAGGACGGCAACGGCGATGGCCTCGGCGACATCCCCGGCATCATCAGCAAGGTCGACTACCTCGCCAACCTCGGCGTCGACGTCGTCTGGGTGTCGCCCATGTACGCGAGCCCGCAGATCGACATGGGCTACGACATTTCCGACTACGAAGCCGTCCACGCGCCCTACGGCACCGTCGAGGACATGGAGAAGCTCATCGCCGCCTGCCACGCGCGCGGCATGAAGCTCATCCTCGACCTCGTCATCAACCACACGTCAGACCAGCACGCCTGGTTCAAGGAGTCCCGCGCCTCCCGAGACAACCCCAAGCGCGACTGGTACATCTGGCGCCCGGCCCGCTACGACGCCGACGGCACGCGCCGCCCGCCGACCAACTGGCGGTCCTACTTCAACGGCAGCGCCTGGCAGTGGGACGAGCACACGCAGGAGTACTACCTGCACCTGTTCGCGACGCAGCAGCCCGACCTCAACTGGGAGAACGACGCCGTGCGCGAGGCCCTGCACGAGAGCGCCATGCGCTTCTGGCTGCGCCGCGGCGTCGACGGCTTCCGCGTCGACACGGTCAACATGTACAGCAAGGGCGTCGAGCTGCGCGACGCTCCCGTCGTCGACCCCAACAACTACGAGCAGCCGGCATGGTGCATGTACGCCAACGGGCCGCGCATGCACGAATTCCTGCGCGCCATGAACACGCAGGTCCTCGATGCCTACGACGCCATGACGGTCGGCGAGCTGCCGCACACGCCCGACCCGGCCCACGTCCGCCGCTACGTCGGCGCCGGCGACCGCCAGCTCAACATGGTCTTCCAGTTTGACATTGTCGACCTTGGCCAGGGCGCCGAGCACAAGTACGCCTGGCGGCCCTGGGCCCTGCCCGACCTCAAGGCCCTCGTCGCCAAGTGGCAGCAGTTCATCGACGGCACCGACGCCTGGACGACCGTCTTCTGCGAGAACCACGACCAGGGCCGCAGCGTGTCGCGCCTCGGCAGCGACGACCCGCGCTGGCGCGCCGTCTCGGCCAAGATGCTCGCCCTCATGCTCTGCTCCCTGACCGGCACCCTCTTCGTCTACCAGGGCCAGGAGATCGGCATGACCAACGTGCCCGCCGACTGGCCCATTGACGAGTACCAGGACATTGAGGCCCTCAACTACTACCGCGCCCTCGAGGCCCGCCCCGGCACCACCGACGCCGAGAAGCGCTACGCCATGGAGAGCATCAACCTCCTCGGCCGCGACAACGCCCGCATCCCCATGCAGTGGGACGACGCGCCCCACGCCGGCTTCACCGACGCCGACGGCGCCAAGCCCTGGATGCGCGTCCACGACCTCTACCCCGAGATCAACGTCGCCAAGCAGGAGCGCGAGCCCGACTCGGTCCTCCACTTCTGGCGCGCCCTCCTGCGGCTGCGCAAGCACCACCGCGACCTCCTCATCCACGGCGCCTTTGCCGTCCATGACGACGCCGACCCGCACACCTTTGTCTTCTCCAAGACGCACGGCGACCGCACCGCCGTCGTCGCCCTCAACTTTACCGCCGAGGACAGGCCCGTGACGCTGCCCGCGGTCAAGGGGCTGCGGGCCGAGGTGGGCAACTATGACGACGTCAGGGCGCGCGACGAGGCTGATGTCGGCGGCGGCGCGAGGGTGCTGCGGCCGTGGGAGGGCAGGCTGTATCTGCAGTAATGTGGGTGGCGAGTCTGGAGTCACAGCTGTTGGCGCTCTGCTCATCTCGGTCCTGTAAATAGTGATATCAACTGTAAATAAGGTTGCGCAAAAGGAGTGGGACGAATCTATTGAAGCTTGGTACCGGATGCGTATTCGCCTCCGCACTTGTTGAACACAACATGCCATCTTCTCAGCCAGCAAGTGCCTGACCACCATGCATGGACATGTAGCTCTCTGCCATGCCGCGTCTGTGAACGTGGTGGCACGCAATGCAGGCTATTTCATCGACCCTCCTCAGCTTCAGCAGACACCCCCGAACAAACACACGCACGAAACACGGCGACTAGAGCAGGAACAGCACCAGATAGGAGCCGCAAGCCACAGCTGCGCCGGGCGGGCATCATTAGACTATCGTCACCACAACGCACATCATGTAGAATCTAGAACGTTTCATGTCCGGACGTAAACATTTTCCTTCCCTCAGCCTTCGCGCTGTTTGCACCCTCCTGCACTCCGAAGGGCCCTGCACCGCGATACGACTTTTCATACAAAACGTGATGTCTGCCAGCTGAGAAGCCGAAGAAAAACACCCTGGACCGTGTCCTGGCCAAGGCCTGTCACATTTTTACATACAATGGGCACGACGCACAACGACACAAACAGTCGAAAAAGCGCGCGTCCTGCCTCGGGTTCCCGCCCCTAGACGCCTGCTCTCCCGATTTAATCGGTAAAGGCAGTCGAGGAGGTGACGTTGTTCCTCTTGGCCCAGTCGGCAATGTTGGCCTTGCTGCTGGCGAGGGCGCCCGAGAGGTTGAACTGCCTGGGGATGGCCTCGACACGGTGCGTCGAGTTGATGTTCTTGACGAGGACCATCTGGTAGCACGTGGCACTGCCCTGGCGGGAGATGATGGTGGAGGAGGCGAGGAAGTACTCCCAGATCTAGAGGTAGTCAGCAACACTGCATATGAAGAAGAAGAAGAAAAAAAGAAAAAACTCACGCGGAACCACCGCTTGCCGTACTTGGCCTCGACCTTGTCCTTGTTGGCGAGCCAGTTCCTGTACCAGCGCCAGAGGGTGCCCGAGTAGTGAACGCCAATGGTGTCGATGTTGCGGACCTCGAAGCCGGCGCCCTCGAAGCGGTCAATGTAGAAGCCAAGCGGGGTGGAGGCGTCGGCACCGGGGAAGACGTATTTGTTCATGAACAGACCCCAGATGAGGTCCTCGTACTGCCAGTACTTGCGGAGGCCGGCAAGCTGGAAGTAGCAGACACCGTCGTCGTCGAGGAGGTCGTGCATCTGCTTGAGGAAGGCGGGGAAGTGGCGGACGCCGACGTGCTCGCCCATCTCGAGGCAGGTGATCTTCTTGTAGCCGCCGGGGACGGTCGGGGTGTCGCGGTAGTCGCAGCACACAATCTTGCTCTGCTCCTCGGGAATGCCGGCCTTGCGCATGGCGTTGTTGCCCCAAGCCGTCTGGTTGCGGCCGAGGGTCACACCGGTGGCCTTGGCGCCGTAGAACTCGCTGGCGAAGCGGGCGAGGGTGCCCCAGCCGCAGCCCATGTCGAGGAGGGTGTCGCCGGGCTGGAGGCCGATCTTCTCGCAGACAATGGCCAGCTTGTTGTCCTGCATCTCCTCGAGGGTCTCCTCGCGGTCAATGTCGGAGATGACGCCCGAGGTGTAGATCATGCGTGGGCCGAGGAACCAGCCGTAAAAGTCATCGCCGCGGTCGTAGTGGTCGCGGACCTGCTCCTCGTCTGGACAGGTCAGCAGGCACACTCATACACACACAAGAGAGACAGAGAGAGAGAGAGAGAGAGAGAGAGAGACATACCCTGGGAACGAGAGTGCATGATGACCTCGGGAGCAAACTGGAACAGGACAAACTTGAAGAGGCTGATGGTGAAGTGGAAGGCGGCCCAGTCGTGGCGGTACTCGAGGACCTCGAGGGCGTCGCCGTTGAACTCGACGTCGCCGTCAAAGTACTTCTCCTGGAAGGTCTCCATGGGGATCTTGTTCTTGCCGCGGTACTTGAGCTTGTCCTCGTCCTTCTTGAAGGTGATGTAGTGCTCGACGGGACGGCCGGGCAGGCGGGCCTTCTCGTTCTTGCGGGGCCCGATGCGCGAGGCGACGTACCAGTAGCCGGTGAGGATGGGCACGGTGGTGAAGAGGGCGAAGAAGAGGGCCGTCTTGAAGCCGTAGCCGATCTTCCAGGCGCCGTAGTACGGCACGATGACCATGGCACCGATCATGAACCAGTTGGAGAAGCTGTCCGAGCCGGGGCCATCGGCGGGAAGGGGGGCATTCTTGATGGCGGGCGACTGTTGATGGGGCCAGGTCAGCAATCATGTCTCTAGATCTACCTCTCAACCGGAATCAGAGGGGCCAGGTGGAAGGAAGCTCGCTCACCTTGGTAGTGCGGACGCCACACTCTTCCTCCTTTTCAAAGGTGGGCTGGGGAGCAGGAGGCGTCTGGACGAACTCGAAGCTCTCGACGCCTGTGGGCTTCGACATGATGGGCGAGCCGTATGAGGGGGGGTAAAGGCCTCAATTGGCGATGGAAAGGGACGGCAAAAGTGATGTTGCTGTCGAGGAGGTCCTCACTGGCAAAAAATGTGCAGTGGGAGAGGTTGTTTCGTGGAGACACATGAAAGGGAGGGGGGGGGGGGGGTTCCGGGCTGGTGGGAGGGGAGGTCCTTCTCGTCCGACCCTAGTTCCAGTTTTGACCGCCTCGACTCGAACTCAACGAAATGGAGTGCTGTGCTGTGCAACCCCGGCGCTGCATGGGCTGGGGCTGCACCTCTAGGTACCTGGTAGCAGAGAAAGGCCTAGGTACCTACCTACATGTACCTTGGGTACCTACCAGGTAGAGGTAGGAAGGCAAGGTAGGTAGGTAGGTACGGTACCTAGACAGCAACCCACCCGTCGGCTCCAAATTACGATGGCGCCCACATCCCCCGCCCCGCCTTCATCACCCCCTGAGCACTGCCCGGAAGATGGGCCTCGAGCCCCTATTCGTAGGTCGTTTCGGGGGTTGGTGGGCGCCCCTGGAAGAGACTGTCTAGTGGGGCTTCTCGACCGGTGCCGTTTCCTGTCTTGTACCAGGGCAGGGTCTACTGCCCGGGGGCACGCACAAGGCCAAGAGCGCGAAACACTGCAATCTGGCAGCATGTTTGCCTGCTCCACAGATCTCGTCAAGTGCGATAACATAGAGATTAATCATGGCCGGTTTTGAGGCGCCTTCCTGATCTCCATTCACCAGTCCATCCTGGGGTTGGCATGATGACATTGTTGGTAGCACTGACCGAGGAATGGGTGCATGGTACAGCTGATGGAACGGAGCTAGTGACGAGACCCTAATTCGCTACCACCGATGCTTTCCATTGGACGCCGCTGGCCGCACACACACATGATGCAACCTCCCACTGCGAGATGCTCTTATCTCAGTGATGGCCCAATGCATGTGCCCCATGTTCGGACGAGGATGAACGAGCAAAGCGTCTGGATGTCCATGTTGGAAATGTCTGCTTCGTCTGCGTACTTCCATAGCACTATTCGCAGACCCCTCTCTACACCCAGATGGTGCACTCGACCTGGCACACAAGCCACGGCTCAGTTCCCATCACAGAGCCCCATGTTCCAGCCACAGACCTCATAGATGCCAGTAAGCATCTCGCCCCGGCGGCCACTTTATCGGTGCATGTCCAACCAGGCCAAGCTCGGTGAGAACGGCAACATGCATCCGTCTGATGAGGCTCCGAGATGTTGCTTCTACTGTGGCTCTTCTGAGCATGGTTCCCGCGGCTTCCCCAAATAGTTCGCCGAAGCATGAACGCAAGAGCCATCGCACGACCCGCCCGCCTGCTACCTTAACCTTCATCACCAACACATACAGGTCTCCGAAGACCTATCTTCTTTCCAGATTGACATGTGCTCGAGCTTCTCAACTATATCCGGTGACGATAGCCACCCAAAAAGAACAAGATCCAACGGGCCACGGCCACGAGAACCTTGGCGGTCTCAGAGATCGTGTTCAAATATTGCCCTAGAGTCTAATCATGCCATCAAGATGTCGAACCTTGTTACTGCCGGGCTCTCTGGGAACCCGAAACCTTACCTCAACAACCCGAAACCCCGCTCCCGGTGCAGGCAAACGTCCATGCCATCAAATCGGAACCCACGGATCAGATCTGTGGGGTCAAAGAGAGCGACCTGCATTCCATACAGGCTATCTGACCCTGCGGCGAGCCCTCCTACGAGACATCGAACGGTGTGTCTGTCTGTCGACCTGCCTGTAGAGTACCATGGTGCCAAAGAAGCGCCCGCTACCGTGTCTACCCACCTCGTCAGAAAGACATCGTCGGAAAGATAGCATCAAAATGCCCCCGTCACCGCCGTTCCCTTGACAGCCATGCCGCCCGCCGGCCCCTCCACCCACACATCCCACCTCCTCTCGTCCGCAGGCCCCGTCCTTGAACCGGCCTCCTTCTCGCGGACGCACACCCGGAGCCGCTCGCCGCAGTACAGCGGCCCCACGTTGCGGTACTCCAGCCTCCGCACGCCCTCGCGCGGCGCGGCGCCCCGGAGCGCCGCGAACGCGAGCGCCAGCGTCAGCGGGCCGTGCACGAGCAGCGCGCGGGGGCCCTCGGCCAGAGTCAGCGCGCCGTCGAGGTGGATCGAGTGCGCGTTGTACGTGAGGGCGCTAAAGTTGGCGAGCAGCGCGCGGTTCGGCGTCAGCGCGAAGGCGTAGTCTGGCGTGTGCGGTGCTGTCGCGTGTCAGCGCTCCATATACTTCTCCTCGTGCCAGTGTTTGTAGATAGAAAGATGACATATCTAGTGGCTGAGGCGCCCCCCCCTTGTCCTCTTCGTCATACGTACATTTGACGATGCGCGGTGGGCTCTTTGCAGCCGCGGCCGCCACGTCGCCTGTGAGAGCCTCGACTTCGGGCATAAAGACGAGGGTCCTCCTCTCCTCGATGGCCGGGGCCGCGTCGCTGCCGCCATCTGCGACTGTGTACCGCCGCCAGACGTCGACGAACGCCTTGGCCTTGTCGCCCTCGCCCGAGAGACGGACTTCCTCTACGGTCTCCGTGCAGACGGCCTCGCGGCCGTCGAGGGGCATGTCTTTCTCCCAGCCTGGGCGGAAGAGAACCTCGCCGCCGGCCCACATTCGCCGCATAAAGGGACGTCCCGGCCAGTGGTCTGCGTCGGTGCCATCGGGATGGAGCTCCGATGGGCGCGCCTGGATGGGGAAATAGACGAGGTGGTGGCCCTGTGGCAGGGGGTGGGCTGGCTTCCTGGACGGTGAGGGCTGCGGCTGGAGGGGCGCAAGACACTCAGGGGGCAGATAGTCTGACAGCGAGAGGGTCAGGAGGCGGGAGTTGGTTGGTGACAAGTGGTCTGGTACATGCTTTGGTTTGTTGAGGATGTCTCTGATAGAATTCGCCGGTGTAGCTGCTGCCTGAGAAGAAAATGATCTTGTCTGTAGAGCCCGAAGCATGCCGCCGAGGGAATGCCCGGGGCATTGAACCGACAACGACTTCATCTCGACTCGACTCGACGCTGTGCCTCAGACTGAAGCTATGAGAGAGGTCGCTTGGTTGGTAAGATCGCTGGGCAGGAGAAGTGGAGATGATATTCAGTGTCAGCCGAGGTAGGAGGACAACGCGAACGGCAAACTGCTAAGCCGAAGAGCCGTCATGGAGATTCAATTCTGAAGACAGACAAAGATTCTAGGATTATGAAACTACATGATATCCTTTTCGATCGCTAGGCATGCTCGGTCGATGTAAACCACCTTCAAGCTGGAGCTCAGCTAGTATTTGGTAATCGCGAGATGGGGCCAACGGGGCCAATGAAGGCACACTACTAGGCAGAGACAACTTGGCCCGTGCACGCGACCTTCGACTGATAGCAAGGCTACCGATAAGGGAGAAAATTATTTCTGGAAGCCAATCCATCCCACCTCTAGTAGAAAGCAGCACCAGCAGTCTCAGCACCGCAAAGCCCCAAAAAAAGAAGGCGACGAGCCGCCAGCTGCCAGCCGCACCTCGACGCACAATCGACCCGGATGCCTGCACCACAATCGACGGCCGACATGTCCGACGTCAACGGCAGGAAAAGGAAGAGGGACGGCGAGGGCAAGTCGAAGCCCAAGAAGAAGACGGCCATTGATGGCGACGTCACAGAGGTCCCTGGAACGCCCGTTCGGATCAAGTCCGTCAAGAAGGCGAAGTACTGCCCGCCCGTCATAGGTATGGTTCAGATGTTTGCTCGGCAGGAACTGCCCCAAAGTTTCATGGCTAACGGCATTCTTCACACAGTGTCTGCACCTGGCGTGCGCCTGGACGAGGACATCACGTTCCGAACCTACCAGAAGAGGCAGACAGCCGGACGCAAGTCGAGCCGGCGCCATGCCTCGGAGCAGGAGATCACCCTGCACTCGACAAAGCACCGTACTGTCGACTTCACCGCACGGGAGGAGGAGGTCGACACGAGGGGCGAGCCTTACCAGCAGGAGTACGTCGCCCTGTACGACCCCAAGACGGGGGGGCTCGAGGTCATGGCGGCGAAGAAGATGGTCGTGCGAGGCACGGTGAGGGCGAAGCAGGCAGATGAGGACGCTATGATTGCACCTGCCGACATCAAGGTAGGACACCCAATCACGGGATGCACGACGACGAGAACCCCAGCTGACCAGCTACACAGACCTACCAGGACCGCAAGGTGGACCTCGGCCAGACGTTCGGCACACGAAAGGCGAAGAAGATTATCGAGTCGAACCGCATCAACGCCATCGGTCCCAAGCGCGGAGAGCAGGACGCTGACGGCAACGCGATTACGGCCAAGCTCGATTCGGCGGAGAAGGCGACACTGTCGCACATCGGACAGGTGACGTCGACGATGGCGTCGCGCGACGAGCTGCAGGCGGCGATTGACGAGTCGAAGCCGGTGCCGCGGGCGAACCTCGAAGCGGACGAGGTGGCCGACGTGTACGACCCCAAGGTGATCATCGGGACCGACGTGCTCAAGGCGGTGCCGGTGCGCGACTGGCAGGAGGCGGTGGAGAAGAACGAGAACATTGACCTCGCGTCGCGGTACGTGGCGCGGCGCATCGGACGCGTCGGCAAGCAGGAGAAGCCGCTGGAGAAGCTGCGCATCATGCGGTACCTCTACTTCCTCATCCTCTTCTACGTCACGGCCAAGGACGGCCGGCAGAGGGGCACCAAGCGGGTGCCGCCGAAGGACCAGCTCGCCAAGAACCTGTCGCCGGCGCCGCAGTCGGTCATCGACAGCATCCGGCGCAAGTTCTCGGACGGCGGTGAGATTCGCAAGTTCCACATGGACCTCATCATGACGCACTGCGCGGCGCTGTCGTGCATCATCGACAATTTTGAAACGGAGCCGAGGGACCTCAGGGAGGACCTGCGTCTGGACTCCAAGACGATGAACCAGTACTTCCAGGAGATTGGTGCCAAGATTGGACAGAGGAAGGCGGCTGGCGAGGCCAAGGCGCAGCCGGTCGCGAAGCTGGCGATGCCGCTCGTGTTCCCCAAGATGAGCCGTGGCGCGCCGATGCGGCGATGAACAATGCTTCGCTGCGCCGTTCGGTACCTGCTGAAGGTACTTGCTGAAGCTGATGAGACTGATGAAAGAGTGTTTTGTGCCTTCATTGTCTTGCCGTGGCTGCGGGTGCTCCCGAGCTCAACAGGATGAGCGATACCAGGGACTAGGAGTAAATGAATGTTTTGACCACACTGAACCGAGTGCCATCGTCCTGCGAGTGCCACCACAATCGAGTGTACCTTGGTGATGAGGAAAACTGACGGTCAAAGCGCTAGGCCTTCCTTCCTTCCTTCCAACAGCCCGCCGCCCTTGCCCCTGGCAGCTCTGGCGGCTCCCCCGCATCTGGTGGGTGCTTTGGGGGACGTCGCAGCCCTCAGGGGCGCACTTGCCGAGGCATTTCGGTAGTGTGGGGTAGCTCGTCTGGGGAAGGGAAAGCTCACCCCAACCTGGACCTGCCATTTAAGTTTAAGTGGAAGTTGGTACTGACGACGAGTGAGCAAGAGCATTTGACTGATTTGCTCGTACACGTTTTCGACATTGCCCTCGCTCTATACTTCGGCCTGAGCTTTCTCATTTTTATGCTGGGCCTCTTCATGTCCTTGCACCCAATCCAGCACTCAACTCTTGTTATAACATACCGTGCCCGCCGTCATGTCCAACATCATCTCGCTCGAGTACCGCGGCCGCATTGCGCTGCTGACCATTGACAATGACGCCAAGCTCAACGCCATGAACCAGGAAAACTACTACGACCTCGCCCAGAAGCTCCGTGAGATTGCCACACACGACGAGGTCTTCATCACCGTGCTCGTTGGCAAGGGCCGCTATTTCTCAGCGTATGAACTTCCTGCACATGAATCAACGCCCCATGGCCGCCTCCCGCGTGCGCCGCTAACCAGTTCCCATCAGCGGCGCCGACGTTTCCCTCGCCAACAAGGCACCCGCCGCGGACGATGCCCTCGCCAACCACAAGCACTGGCTCTCGGCCTTTGTCGCCAACAACCTCAACACGACCGAGGCCTTCTTCTCCCACCCCAAGATCCTCGTCGTCGGCCTCAACGGCCCCGTCATCGGCCTCACCGCCGCCCTCGTCGCCTTTGCCGACTTTATCTACATCACGCCCCACACCTTTCTGCTGACGCCCTTTTCCTCCCTCGGCCTCGTCGCCGAGGGCGGCGCCAGCCGCGCCCTCGTCCAGCGGCTCGGCCCGGCGCGGTCCCACGAGGCCCTCCTCATGAGCAGGCGCATCACGGCCGACCAGCTGCTGCAGACGGGCTTCGCCAACAAGTCGTTCGACGTGGCCAAGGGCGACAGCGACCGCTTCCGGGACCTCGTCCTCGCCGAGGTCGATGATAAGCTGGGCGAGCACCTCACAGGCGAGAGCCTGACGGGGATCAAGGAGCTCATCCGCGCGCCCGAGCGCGAGATTCTCGAGAGGCAGAACCACAAGGAGGTATTTGCCGGTCTTGAGAGGTTCGTCAAGGGCGTGCCGCAGCAGGAGTTTGCCAAGATTGCCTCGGGGCAGAAGAGGCACAAGTTGTAAACTAGACATTTGGATTTGGTGCGACTTTCTCTCTCCTTGTCTTGGAAAAGCACTGCATTGGTGTATATGCTCGCTCGCTACAGGTGTCTACATGTATGTGCATGGCGTTCATGTCTATGGGGGACGGGTAACCTCTCCTCCTTCACGCCAGCAGACCAAACAGCAGGCTCGTCTTCCTCCAGTGCTCACGCGACGACGCGGCGATCCGCTTCCGCGCCTCGGCGCCGTCGAGCCCCGTATGGCTGTACACCTTGTCGCCGAGGGCTGCTAGTTCGCTCGCCGTGGATGCACCGTCTGCTGCAGGCCCAAAGGCGCACTCGAACAGATGAATGTCGAAGAACCACTGGGTGAAGAGATCCTGCTCCTGCTGCTCTTTCGTCTGCTTGTCGTCGTCGTCGTCGTCGACGGCGTCTGTCTCCGTTGTGCTGCCGTCCTTTGCCTCGTTCTCTTCTTCGGCCTCTTCGTCTGAGTCCTCGTCCTCGTCCTCGCCGTCGGCAGATTTCTCGTCCTTTGCTTTCCCTCCGTCCTCCCGGCTGCCGTCGAGGTGCACTTCCACCGCCTCGAGCCAGGCCTCACAGATCTGCTGCCGCACCTTGCGCTTGACGACACCGACGGCCGTGGCGCTCCACAGGTCGACACCGGCGTCGCTCATGGCGACGGACAGGTCGCGCAGGAACTTGAAGGCGAGCGGCGACGGCTGCGTCGGCAGCTCCGGGCGGCCCTCCCACAGGGGCCGCCCGACGACGAGCTTCTGCGTCAGCCCGCGCGACGCAAAGACCTCGACGGGCGCCGCCGACACGGCGAGGGCCAGCGTGTCGTGCAGCGACGGCACCATGTCGAGGCCGAAGCCGCGGAGGGCCGGGGCCGGGGCCCTTTCGAGCCGCGGCAGGCCGGCGCGCACGTCGCGCAGGACGCGGAGCATGTACGTGGCGACGCGGCCGGCGTTGACGGCGCCGGCGCGGGCGCGCCACAGGTCGGCGAGGCGGGTCTCGAGGGCGGCGAACGCGCGTGCCAGGGTCGCGTCGAGCCGGTCGTGCAGCGCCGCGGGGTCGTCTCTGCTGAGCTGGGCGTGGCGCGCGTCAATGGTTTCCTCGTCCTCAATCTCGTCGTCGTCGTCGTCGTCGCCGTCGTTCTCCCACCGCTGCTTCTTCAGCTCGTCGACGACGCCCTCGACCTCACCAATGACGCGGCGCCACGAGGCGAAGCACGCCACGGCCCTGGCGACGGCGTCGTTGCGGCCGTGGAGCTGGGCCACGAGGTCCTGCAGGAAGGCGTCGACGCCGGCGGCCGGGTCGATGTCGAGGGTCGTCTGCGCCCAGAGGGGCGTCGGGCGGTCGGTGACGCCGTCCTTCCAGGCGTCGAGCGTGGCGGCGACCTCGGAGGCGACGAGGTGCAGCTTGTGGACCTTGGCTTCTATGAGCGCCAGCAGGTGCCCGTTGATGGCCTCGCGTAGGGCGTCGAGCATCTCGGAGGGGTCAAAGCCGCGGGCCTTGCCGCCGTCGCGGATCCAGAGGCGGAGGACGCTCGTGCGGAGGTCTATGACGGCCTTGAACTCGGTCATGCGCTCCATCGTCGACCGCAGGCCGGCGACGAGCACCTCGCCACCCCTTTCGGCCCAGCTCGTGAGCATGCTGCGTGCCTGGGGCCCGTCGAGGTCGTCGTGGCGGATAAAGGGCGTAAAGGTCAGAATGTCGTCACCGCACCAGCGCTCGTACACGTCGAGCCTCAGCGCCTCGACGTTTCGGAGCACGTCGCCCTGCAGCAGCGGCCGCTTCTTGAGGTTGGCCAGGGCGTCCGAGAGCTTCGAGGGCACCAGCGCCTGGACGTCGAGGAGCGTCCTTACGTACAGCAGCTGGCTCTTGAGAACGTTGGCGCCGCCCTGCAGCCGGCCGGTCTCCGCGTCGTCGGCGTAAAAGGCCGCCGACATGGCCTTGCTGCGGACCGTGAGGAAATGCTTGAGCACGTCGCGGGCGCTCGAGCTCGTGGCGAGGCTGTAGGCGCACAGGGCCTTGAGTGTGTGATCCTGCCTCTGGGCCTGGTTGTCTGCCGTCTTTTCGAGGAACTTTTCGATGCTCCGGAGAAGACGCCGGCGGAGACCCTCGAGGGTCTTTCTCGCCGTGTCGACGACGAGGGCGGCGTCGGGTTCCCTCGCCAGCTCCTCACGCGTGAAACCCTTGGACAGCAGGCGGCTCAACACGAGGACCTCGCTGCCGAGCAGCAGCCTGTCGCCGGGACCCAGTTTTGTATCGTGGCCGGCGGCGGCGGCAGCAGTGGTGAGGCCGACGTTAGCACCACGGCCCTTGAGCAGGAGCTTGCCGACGACGAGGGCGCAGGCGTCGAGGAGCCTCGCCCTCGCCAAGACGGCCATGCGAGGGTCTTCGGCTTCGGAGGCAAACTCGGCGTAGCCCTCGAGCTTGCGGCCGACGACGGCGCGGCCGCAGCGGTGGCCCATGCGGGCGAGCAGGGCCTGGACGGCGTCGTTGTCCTGGCGCATCTGGACGATGGAGTCGGCGGTGCCGAGGAGGCCGCGGTAGGAGGAGCCGACCTGGGTGCGCAGGCGCGCGGCCTTGTCGTCAATCTGGACATGGAGTGCGCGGTGGATGGCGCGGATCTGGGGCAGGGTGTGGTTGGCGGTGAAGACGTCGGCGGAGGAGGTGAGGCTGGCGATGTCGGGGGCGGCGGCCATGGTGGGCGGTTATGGGAGGGGCATCGAGGGGGGGGGGGTTGTCTGTGTGCCGGTCAATGGCCTAGGCTTCTGGTGAAGCAGAAGCAGAAGCAGGAGCAGGAGCAGGAGCAGGAGCAGGAGCAGGAGCAGTCTCAGGTCGTGTGCAGATGGTGGCTTGATGCAGCTTCTGCAGGCTGTGTGTGGTGGAGGGACTCGAGGCTGTCCTCCAGCTGTGTGTAGTAGTGGAGGATCTGTGCTCCGTGGTGAAGCTGTCGACAGCTGCGGGTGAGCCTTTCTCAGTGGTGGCCAGATGCCGGAGCACCTTGCGTGACCAGCTGCCGCCGTGTGTCGTGTCAGTGCCGGTGTCTGTGGTTTGCGGGCACTCTGGCCACTGTAAATGGCTACCTAGGTACTGTCAATGGCCACTGTCAATGGCCACTGTAGCAGCCGCTGTCTCGCCCACGGGCTTCCACTGGTTCTGAAAGACCACTTCAGCTGATTCACTTGGGAAATGCCGAGAAAAAGCACTACAGCAATCGAGACACTGCACACCGTACGGACTATGGACCTTGTCTATAGAGGATCATCCGAGGACGACGTTGAAGGCACGGGATTGAGGGCATCAGGTGCTGGAGGGACACCATGACGATGCAGGTGCTCCACAGGGCACGTCCCTCATGTATGACTATAAAATACACATATACATACAAATATATATACATATATATATAGACATATACATATAGACATATACATATAGACATATACATATATAGCAGCAAGTCCATCTGCGCGTTTGGCACACCTGTCAAGCGGTCCATCTGTAAGGTGCTGGATGCCAGGAAACTCGTGGGTTGGATGGAGTCACCACGTTGACCTGAAGCCTACGTTCTAGGAGAAGTGAGAATCAACAAGGATTGTGCTTAATGTATGGGGGTTCGAGTGTGGATGTATTGGTCAAGTTAATAGGTGCTAAAAAATGGGCATCAGGTGAACCTTCAGTGAGGCATGTCCCTTGACAGACGAATACCCCCCCTTGCATTGCATTTTCCAGTCCCGTTCTCCCAAGTGACCATCTTTCACCAGGCCGACCGCGGCCTCACAAACGCCCCCCATGCCCCATTTTCCCGATGTATGTAGCACTCTATTTATATCCATTCAATCATCAGAAGATAAAGGCTTTAGTTCTCCAGATGTGCGGTCTTCCAAGTTTGTCCCAAGCAAAGAGAAGCCAGCATAGCCATCCATGAGAGGTACAATCCTATCAAGTAGACTGTGAATCTCACCAACTCGTAAATAAATCAGGTCGATGGTGAGAGGTAACAGCTGTAGTTGCAGCATGGCAGTAGCTCAGATGAGGAAAGGAAAGAGAAATGCAAACGCAGAATCAATTGCAGAGAGGAGGTCGATCATGATGACGGATCATGTAGCAGTCTCCAATGGTCGAGTAGAGAGCTGATCATGGCCATTGCTGGAACGACAGGATTGATCGTGTGAAGGAAAAACCAGTTGCAGAAGAAGTTGCAGTTGTGATGAAGGATCAGTCATGATGATCAACCAAATCATCAGAAAGCAGTTGCATTGTCGAGACGACTGTGAAATGCAGAGACTGTCTAGGAAGTCGCAAGTGGAGGAACGTTATCTTATCACTCGAACGCACCTGCCCCACTAAAAAGTTCTCGCCCGGGTGGATTTTTCCCAAACCCCCCATGGTCAAGGCTGCCATCGACGACTCGTCCCTCCCCACGATCATCACCTTCCCGCCGTCGAGCCGACACGAGAAGAGCAACACACGACAAGGAAAACGAAAATGGGCAAGAAGAGAAAGGCGTCCTCGCGCAACGCGCAGCCGACGGGCCCCAAGGAGCTCGACGCCGCCGACGCCCGCCTCGGCCCCATTACGACGTACGAAGACGTCGCCGACTCGGAGGAGGAGTACTTTATCAACCGCGACAAGATCATGTTTGACGAGGCGCCCCGTTCGAAACGCGCGCGGCGTGTGGCCGAGGAGGACAAGTTTCTCGAGCAGTCGGATGAGGAGATCCTAGACGAGGACATGGACTCGGAGGACGAGGACGAAGAGGACGAGGCGGCGCCACCACCGACGAAAAAGGGCGCTGCCGCCAAGGACCGTCGTCGTCGTGCCGCTGCTGCTGGCTCGGACGACGAGGCCGGCGGACAGGCCGACAACAACAACAACGACGGCGACGACGACGAGCAAGGCGACAGCGGGTGGTGGGGCGACGCCAAGACGGACTACTACGACAATGACCAGATCGAGACCGAGGCCGACGCGCTCGAGGAGGAGGCCGAGGCCAAGCGGCTGCAGCAGAAGAAGCTCGCCAAGATGGCCGAGGAGGACTTTCTCTTTGACGAGGGCGACTGGCTCGCGGCGAAACCGGCCGACGGCGACGCCAACGATGGCGACGAAGACGTCGTGACCGAAGTGCTGCAGGACGTGGCCGTCACCGACGACATGACGCCCGAGGCGCGCTCCACGCTGCTGGCGGCCCGCTACCCCGAGTTTGAATACCTCGTCCGCGAGTTCCAGGAGCTGCAGCCGCGGCTCGGGACCCTGCAAAAGGCGGCCCACGGCAAGTCGGGCAAGTCGCTCGAGGCCGTGCGCTACTGGATCCTCGGCTGCTACGTCGCCGCCCTCGCCAGCTACTTTGCCATCCTGACGTCGCCCGCGCGCGATGGCGCCTTGACGACGACGACGACGGCGACGACGACGACGACAGCAGCAGCCAAGATTCTCGCGCCGGCCGAGCTCCGCGACCACGAGGTCATGGAGACGCTCGTCACGTGCAGGGAGGCCTGGCAGAAGCTCGACGCCGTGCGGGCCATCACGGCAGCCGACGAGTCGATGGACGTCGATTCGGCGGGTGAGGAGGACGACACGCTTGCCTCGCTCCCCGCCGGCGCCGATTTCGTCCGTCCATCCAAGGCCGACAAGAAAACCAGAAAGGCCAAGGAGAAGGCGCAAAAGGAGAAGGCCAAGCGGGCCCAGGCCGTCGAGGAGTCGTTTGCCGATCTCGACGGGCTCCTCGCAACGACGACGACGACGACGGCATCAAAAAAGGCACGCACGTCGGCAGCGGCCAAACGCGTCGTCGCAGGGGCCGCCGACGAGGACGGCAATTCCGACTTTGGCGAGGAGGAGGAGCTCGACGCGCGCACGGCGGCCGACAAGGCGGCGCGCAAGAAGAGTCTGCGTTTCTACACATCGCAGATTGTGCAAAAGGCCAACCGCCGCGCCGGCGCCGGCCGCGACGCCGGTGGCGACGCCGACATTCCGTACCGCGAGCGTCTCCGCGACAGGCAGGCGCGGCTCAACGCCGAGGCGGAGAAGCGCGGCCAAAAGGGGTCCAAGTATGGCGAGGACCTGGGGGCCGACGCGGCAGGCGACGAGAGCAACGACGAGGACGCGGCGACGGCCAAGGCGGTGCGGGCCGAGGAGGACGACGAGTACTACGACATGGTGGCGGCGCGCAGCGGTGCCAAGAAGGCGGACAAGGCGGCGCGGCAGGCGGCGCTGGCGGCGGCGGGCGTGGCGGACCGCGTGGTCGAGCAGGAGGTCATCGGGCCGGACGGCAAGCGGAGCATCAACTACACGATCGAGAAGAACAAGGGCCTCGCGCCGAAGCGGAAGAAGGAGAACAGGAACCCGCGTGTCAAGAAGAAGCTGCAGTACGAGGCCAAGCAGAAGAAGCTGCGCAGCATGATGTCGACGTACAAGGGCGGCGAGCCGCAGGGAGGCTACGGCGGCGAGAAGACGGGCATCACGACGGGGCTGGTGCGGGCGAGGAAGCTGTAGTCTGTCGAGAAATGCATCTGTTGTTTGCTGTCTGCATGTCTGTGTCTGTGTCTTGTCTGCATGTCTGCCTCTGATGTGTGGCGATGCCATCTTCCTTCGAGGTGGCTGAAGCTTCTTCGCTCGATGCCTCGAGCGATCTGGCGACACGGAGAGAACAGGCCAAAGCATGCCAGGTCAACTCGCGTCAGAACCAAACGCAATCAACAGTAGGTTTGCTAATCTGTCCTAGTACCCTCCATCCATCCTGGCACCGTCCATCCGTCCACCATGTCAGGGGTCAGACAAGGCTCGGTGGGGTCCGTCAGCACCAGCCAAATCTCACGCGGCTTAGGTCAGACCAAGCGACTCTTCACTTTTACGACCTCCCACCCCTTCAACCTTCCCCCCCTCCCCCTACCCAATCCTACCCTACCATCCGCCTCCGGACGACAGTAAACCCTCCCTGCCGTCGCCTACAAAAGCAGACGCCATGCCTGACGTCGGCAGCATTGTCTGGATCATCGGTTCTGCCCTGTTTGCCGTCCTTCTCGCTTCCGCCATGGGTCTCTTTAACCGGAAGAACCACATGCCCGTCGAGGGCAAGGTACGTGATGCCTTCTTTCCTTCTCGTACCATGGCAAGGCATCGCTGACAAGCCTCTGCAGACCATCCTCCTCACCGGCGCGACCGAGGGCATGGGCCGCAGCGTCGCCATCAAGCTCGCCGCCCGCGGCGCCAACATCATCGCCGTCGCCCGCAACGTCGAACGCCTCGAGGCCCTGCTGCCCGACCTCCGCGCCGCCGCCAAGAACCCCTCGACCCAGCGCTTCCACATCCTCTCCGCCGACGTCGGCGTGCCCGACTTTGCCGCGCCCCTGCTCGCCGAGGCGACGGCCTGGAACAACGGCCTCGCGCCCGACATTGTCTGGTGCATCGCCGGCATGTCGACGCCCGGCCTCTTCGCCGAGACGCCCTTTGCCCACCTGCGCCGCAACATGGACGTCAACTTTTACGGCACCGCCGAGCTCGCCCACGCCGCCCTCGGCCTGTGGCTGGCCCCCGACGCCCCGCGCCCGCGCACCAAGAAGCGCTTCGTCAGGACGAGCTCCGTCGCCGCCTTCTGCCCCATCGCCGGCTACTCGCCCTACGTCCCCTCCAAGGTCGCCCTGCGCGGCCTCGCCGACGCCCTGTCCCAGGAGCTGCACCTCTACCCCGACAACCCCGTCGCCGTCCACGTCGTCTTCCCCGGCACCATCACGAGCCCCGGCTTCGACCGCGAGAACCTCACCAAGCCCGAGATCACGCGCCAGCTCGAGGACATCGACCCCGTCCAGACGCCCGACGAGTGCGCCGAGGCCGCCATCCGCGGCCTCGAGCGCGGCCACTTCTTCGTCACCGTCGCCTGGCTCGGCTTCTTCATGCGCGTCAGCCTGCTCGGCGGCTCCATCCGCAACAACTGGGTCGTCGACACCCTGACCGCCATGTTCGTGACGCCCCTCATCTGGCTCTTCGTGCTGCCCGACATGATGGGCAAGGCGAAGAAGTACGGCCGCACCCACGGCCATCCGAGCACCTATGCCAAGGTGGCGCCTTAGACCAGTCGGGCCTGCGTGTGGCCTGCGTTTGGCCTGCGTGTGGCCTGCGTGTGGCCTGGGGGGACAAACTAGATACCCGTAATCAAGTCGGAATGAAGAGTAGCTCGTAACAAGCACGTGACGTATTTGCTCATTTCTTTCACGTTCAGTCGACGTGTATTTCGACCGAGTGCTCTATCCAGGTCGCACAGTCTATGGTCAAGGGTATCACTACATGCCGTTCCATCCCTCCGTCCATCCATCCGTCCTCCACAGCCACCGCCGCAGCCCTACACGCCGCTCCACTTGCCAAACTGCGTGTACCGCTTAAACATCTCGCGCAGAATCGCCCTGCCGCTGGCGTCCATGGCGTCGTTGAGAATCTTCCGGACCTCCGACGGCGTCACGTCAAAGATGGAGTGCATCCCCGGCTCCAGCGCCTCGCGCACGCCGTGCGGCACGTCCACCTCGAGCTGCAGCTTGACATACTGCATGAGCACGAGGTACACGTGCCGTCCGGCCGTCTTCTTGGCCGCGTCCGTCGCCGAGTCGAGCGCGCCGACGTGCTGCGCCCGCGACACGGACGCCACCGACGGCTCCGTCACGAGCGTCACGAGCCGGCCGTACAGCGTCGCGTGCCGGCTGCCGAGCGTCGCCGCCGCGCCCTTGCTGGCATCGTGGACGAGCGCGCGCAGCAGCGCCTCGAGCGTCGACAGGAGGATGTGGTAGTGGTCCTCGAGGCGGAGGCGGTGGCGCCGGATCACGACGCTCACGAGGCTGCAGAGGGCTTCGTAGACGCGCGGCGACGACGACACGGCCACGCCGCCTCCGCCGGAGGCCATGACCGAGACAGCGCCGAGCGTCGTCTCAATGTTCCACTGCGTCATCAAAGTGGCACGCTGGTCGAGAAGCAGGCGGGCGACGTCGGCGGTCCGGCAGAACGCGCGGGCTGACGTCGTCTTGGCCAGCCGCGCGGTGAGCTTGCTGTGGGCCGTCGCCAGATCAAACGACGTGGTCTTTTCGGATGAACCTTGTTCGTCTGCAGCTTGTCAGTCATTGTCGGCCAGTCAAAAGTCGTCGTGAAAACGCAGCAACGTACCGGTCAGGCGAACGACAACTTGGTGGATAGCCAGGAGCTGTCCATCCACGGCCTGTCCTTCGTCGAGCTCCTCGAGCAGGCTCTCGAGGTACTGCAGCTTCTCGCTGCGTCCCATCCGACGGACGATGGCGTCGACGCACGCATTTGTCGTCTCGCGTGAGCTGCTTGCCGATACCACGTCAGGGATGCTGCCCGTCCCCTCGCTCGCGTCATCAGACTGGAACAGCAGGCGAAAGTCAGTCGGTCGCGGCTGAGCAAGCAGAGGCGCAAAGTTGCCGATGAGGAAGGTCCTGAGATGCCATCCACGAAGATATCCCTGAGACACGGCGTCGGCGCTTGCCTCCTCGAGCGCCTTGATGTCAATCTTCAGCCCTTCCAGTGCGTCGCTTGGAAGTCCTTCGGCAGCATCGATGGCGACGAGGAGCTTGTTAACAGCTGCCCGGTCGTTGGAAGAGCGCCACTCGCGAGCGTACGCGTCAAGGATACCCTTGACAATGGTCGCAAGACGTCCACGGACGTCGGAAAGGTCGAGCGAAGCATCGTCGCCTTCAAAGTTGCCGGAACCCGACAGGACCTTGACCAGTGCTTTGAGGACTGCCAATTTCAGAATCTCATCTGAGGACTCCTCCTCGTTCTTGTCCAGGTGACGGCCGGCCTTCTTGAAGTACTTGGCACCCCACTCCTCGTAGTGGTCATTGATCTGGCGGATCGTCAAAGTGGACAGCTCGCAGATCAAGCGAGATGTGCCAAGCGCGGTCTTTGGGTCCATGTCGGCTATGGCCGGGGATGCGCTTGTGGCGAGGGCAGTGAGATCAGAAAATGACATGCCTTCGTAGAATGTCGACCTCTGCATCACCTTGACCATCAGACCGAGGACGAGATTCCATGTAGAGGCTGACACCTTTTCGGTCTTGCTCTTCATCTTGCGACGTTGCAGCATGAGCGTCTCCATGATTCTCTCTCGCTGGGCTCTCGAAAGCAACTCGTTGGGTGTGTCGATCAGGGCTTTGAGCGCTGCGCTTGTGCTTGCATCTTCCCAGGGGGAGGACTTCGAACCACACGTCAAGGCCTCGATGACGTGGTCGATGACTTTTGTTGTGAGTCTGGCCTCGTGGAACACGTTTTCGTTCGAGAGCACAGCACTCAGAGCACTTGACAGCTGCTTTGACTCTTGCGGCGCGGCGTCTTTGTCATCGGAAAAGGCAATGATATGCCGCAAAAACTCTGGTAATGTGTCGGCGTTTTCGCTAACAAGAGGCAGGAACCGTGACGCTTCTCCCAAGGCAAAGTCCACATAGGACGTAATCGTAACAGAGGATGCGGTTGGCCTAGTCTCCGGTGTTGAAAGCTGGACAGCAAACGGGTCCCATGGTATTTCAAGGGACGCTGGCTTTAGCTTTCGAAGTTGCTTTGCTAATCGGTCGGCGAAAGATCCGAGTAGTGCAGCAAGCTCCGCTACATCCTCACCATCTGGGAAGGCTGACAGCCAAAGCTGAGTGGCGGCACGGAAAGCCTCGAGCGTGTCGGGATTTTCCAGCTTGCCCTTGGCCAAGGTCTTCTTGAGTTCGGACTGCACCTTCGATCGAATCTTGGAAGCCTCCTCATTGTTGACCCAGGAAACCGTGCTCGCGACGATTGGCCAGCGAAGAGCGAGGAGGTCCGAAGGCAGAGTATCTGACAGCCAAGCATCCTGCATGAGATCGAAGAGCCTCAATTGCACTACATCTACAAAGTCGTCACTCTTCAGAGCAGCTGCAATTGTGTCGAGGAAAACCAGAGTTGCCGCCGGCAGGACGCTTGCTTGCTCTTCAACCCATTGCAGCACATTCAGGAGCTGCTTTGGTGTAAGAGAATTTTCGATGGCTGTTGTCAGGCGAGAACTGCGATGCACTGCCGAAGAAAACCAGGCTGACCGGTTCGTTGCATCCGATAGTGAAGAAGCGTCGCACTTGACGAGTTGCTCAAACCACTTCCTCAAAAAGGAAGACAAGTCGCGAGCCTTCTCGTAGCCACCAATTATGCAGTCGAACAACGCACGCACAGCCTCTAGATCTTCTTCACCGCCTAGGGAAGATTGTGGTTGCAGCAGCCGGTCCGCAACCGTGTTCAACAATAGAGCCCCATCGTCCGTAAGAAGGAAAACATCGGGGTCGCACTGTGCCACGAGTGACAAGGCCTGCCAGTCTGTGGAATCGCTGCCGAGAGCGTGGTCCTTGCACAGGGCGCGAAGATCTGCTAAGTCAATATTTGACCTGTTGGCGATTGCTTCGCCAAGCATGATCTTCAGAGTCGTGGATTTCTTCTGTGGGGTCAGGTCGGCCAAGCTGTCGCGCGCCAACTTGAATGTTGCCTTGGCCCAGTCCTCTTCAGACGTCGATGCGCTTGGCCCGAAGAGAATCCGGGGTGTTGTGGACGCCAAGTGAAAGAACACGGGGCCCGCGACTGAGGCGATAGGTCTAGAGATATCGACTGCCCGGATGGGTGCTTCGAGGTCCTTTCGATTGAGAAAAGCCGATTTTGCAGGAAGAAAAAGATTGCGATGCATGAAGCTCTCTAGTTGTTGTACCCAAGAAGACTTGACACGGTCCTCAAGTGTGATGTCGACATCGATTGCCAGCCCAGTCAGCTTTCCCAGGAGGCCAAAGGCAGATCGCGAAAGGTAGAGAGCTACCTCCAAGCCATCGGCCTGCCCTTGTAGTCGCAGGTTCCATATCGCGGACAGTGTGTGAATCCAATTCTCTTGCGTTTCGGCGCAGCTCAGGTCGCTGGTAGCTGAGTATTCGCACAGCGAAAGGATGGGCGCCAGGTAGGTTACCACATCACTGGCAGGTTGCGAGAAGAGACCCTTGATGTGCTCCGCGCCCATGCGTTCATTCTGGGACGTATGTGCGGCTCCATCAACACGAGCTAGAAGGATTCGGAGCGCTCCCAGAACCGCGTCTCCCGTGCTTATACAGCCGTCCCGTGTCTTCAAAGCTTCGAGATCGAATATAACCTCGGGTGTTCTCTTCCTCTTCTTCGACGATGGCGCGGGGACAGCATCCTTGAGTGTGACCGGTTTCGAGATGCTCTTGAGAGTCTGTTGCAGGATGGCCATAAACTTTCGATCGGCGAGAGATTTCGCGAGAGAGAATAGAGGTATCCTTTGAAATGTGCAGCCTAGGATCCGCCATGTCAAGGGAAATCTTCGCAGAGTGTCGGCGGCGTCGTTGTTCGTCTTCATAGACTTGAGAAGCCATCGCAGCACAGTCTCCTCGGCGGCGTAGAAGTGACTGGAACTAACGGAGGTGAGAAGAGTCCAGGCGCGCTCAATATGTTCACCATCATTTCCCGGTCCGGTTTGGTCGAGTGATCGTACGGTCTTGACAAGGTCTCGTCCACGGGTCTGTTGGGTACGAATTAGATGCGATTGGTGCGTGGAGAGAATCATATCTACTTACAAAAGTCTCCGTAGAGCCATGGATATTTGCCATTGTCACATCCATGGTGAGAGAATGAACGAATGTGGCAATCGTGAAGGTCAGCCTGCAGCCGATCGATCACTCAAGATTCAGACCTTCAGTTGTAGCTCCCCGCCCAAAATTATTTCCTGGAGAAAATACTGCCGCTCCACTCATAGTCACCGAGGCTCACCGATGTCTCACCGCCTTCGGGTATTCCAGGTTGGTTCTCCCGACCACCTCGAAAATAACATGACGGAACCGTCTTTGATTGAAATCCGACAGTAGTTCGCGATCCCAACCGCACCACCAATTGCTCAATCGTGTCACACGTGTACGTCGCAACGCCTCGCCATCAACACACGTCAATTGACACCGACTGATGAATCTGCAGCTCCGCAATCATGTCTGACACCGCCATCCGTCCTCCTCCGAGCGCCGTCGCGCGACCCGTCAGTGAGGCACTTCTCAACGAGAAGGTACGACAGCTTCCCGAGAGCGCTCGATCCATCGCAAACTTGGCGCGTCAACAGCTAACACAAAACAGTGGGACCGCTGCCTGTCCAACCTCCTCGTCAAGTCGTCTCTTGGACTCGGCTTCGGCGTCGTCTTCTCAGTCCTCCTCTTCAAGCGGAGGGCGTGGCCCGCCTTTGTTGGCGCTGGCTTCGGAGCCGGCCGGGCGTACGAGGAGTGCAACTTCAATCTGCGACAGGCGGCGAGGGACCTGAAGAAGCAGGCATAAGCAACAGACCAGACGACCAGGGGAAGAGCACGAGACCACCAACGACGTGGAACAGCGCCTTGTACAAAAGCGATACGACCGGTAGCAAACATGCGCGCGGTGGAGCTACGACTTTCGGGCACTTTTATATCGGCCGGGATAGACCGAACGAAAGGCAGAATGAGCATAGGTTAGGGAGGGTGGAGAGAAGTGGAATAGATTCACTATGTACACCAGTCCGTCTTCCTGAGCCGTCGTGAAGCTTTCGTGAGTTCTGTACGCTGCTCATCTCATACACGGAAGGCGATCACCGCCCGTGTGTCCCACCGTCGGCCCAAACATCCAGAAATACGACCCGACTCGATCTTCGTCGCGGGCCCGGCAGGCCTTCCATCTCACGAGCACTTGCTTCGATGCTCTCGGGTTTGTCAAGCAGAAGCTCAACATCATTGTGCCGGTCGGAAGCGGGGCTGAGTAATGCAGAAAGGTCGCTGCTCAGCCGGCGGAATCCTTGAGAACAAGCATCCCCTATGTTCTACAAGAGTGAGCTTTGGATGCTGCTCGTGGAGCTGGTCGACATTCTTCTTTCAAAAGCGCCAATCTCTCTCTGTACGCCGCTGATCAGGGAGACGCTCCGACGGCGGACGCTGTCTACAAAACTCTCGCTGTCTGCGACGTTATCGGATTCGGAGTCATCATCTTGTTGCCAGCGCATGCTATTACGGAGCGATTCGCGATGTTCCGATGCCGTCCGCTCCCGATCGGCCCGTATTCCGGCGCCATAATACAGAACGATGCCTAGTATACTGACTAGAATGAAGAGAGTGGATGCGAGAAGCATAATCTCGGATTTCTTCTGCTGAAGTTCGCGCATTTCATAAGACATCCTAGACTACGCCTCAGATGGGTCGATTTGTGTTTGTTTGAATAACTGGACTGGCCAGAGCCAGGTCGCTTGACTTCGAACTTGGACGTCTCCCAAGTGTCGCCCAGTGGAGGTCAATCGAACCAGCAAAAATATCGATAGGGAGTATCGGGGTGACGGTTTTGACGTTGGATATCAGGTTAGGTTGAGGGGATTTTGAGGTCATTGGTAACTTGAAGTGCCTGGGTATTGAGAATCCCAGCGAGAACTCCCCTCTTTCTCTTTGTGAGAGCAGCATTCTCACCTAGAAGTACATTCCTCTATGGGTAACTCCGATCCATCGGTACTCCCTTCCCCTTCACAGTTTGGAGATTGGTATGTGAGCGCCATTGTACTTGCCTCTGTAGAGCCCTGGCTCAGTGGCTTGCAGTCCTGTGAAAAGGTAATCCTAGGTACCAACCTACCCTGTGCCGGGCTATAAAGGTTGGCGAAACTTGAATGTCCGTTGATGACTTGGGGCTTCACATTTACCTTAAGAGCTGCTCCATCTGAATTGACTCGAGGTTTCGCAGTTATGGAGGCTTGCTTTGCAGTACCCAGTGAACCAGCACGGACGATACAGAGTGATATCGAGCATCGACAAGCTCCTGACGTGCTACACATTTACGCAACACAAGAGTACCATACTAAGCATAACACGCGGTATCATTTCTGGAATTTCCACCCTGTCCTGTTTATTCTCAAGCAGAACCTAACACTTTTAGCTCATTCACCATATCCCAGGGAAACGCAGACACGGCTTGTCTGTCCTCTTCACGCCAGCTCCGGATGATAGCTTCTCCTGAACAAGCGCGTGGCAGTGCGGTAGGAATACCCTGTGCGTAACCCGGCTTGTTCCGACCGCACTGGTCCATAGCCCGGATTGGCATGGATACTGCGTGGGTCGGTGTTGGAGCACTTTTCGTAATACTTGCCCTGTCTGAGACGACGAAGCCTGATCATGAGATGTATGATCTTATAGACAATCAGGAAATAGCATACTGCCCCAGCAAAGGTGAGCACAACAGAGACCGAGTGGCCAGGTTGCGGGTTGCTGCTGCTCATCGGAAACATCGAGTATGCATCATAATCGGCCCACATGACAAGCGGGGGTCTGTTGAACCGGCGTCGGAGGCGTTCGTAGGGCCCGAGGCTGCGCTCGTTCATCTGCGGCGGCGGCGGGAGTAAAGCATGCGCAGCCTTTTCGCACTCTGGAGTTGCTGTCCCAGCTTCCTGTACAGCCGGCATATCAGACATCGCACAGTCCCAGGCTCCCCGCTTCTCTTGAAGAAGAAAACGTACCACAAGTTCACTGCACACCTGGATATAATCCTTGAAAGCTGTCCAGCGGGAGAGCTCAAGTGCCTCTTCAGACAGATACTGGCTTTTGAAGCTAGGGAACACGGAGATGATGGCAACCAGCAACCCGGCGAAAGCAACGAAGAGTGCGATGCAACTGGCTGCAAGTTTGTGGGCTTCAAACCATTTTCCTACTTGGGCGAGAAAGGCGGTTTGGTTCTTGGTAGGAGCATTCTGCGGTTGCGATGAGACCTGGTCAGATGAACCGGCGACTGCTCCCGTCGTCTGTGATGGCACGTCCGCAGCAGTGTAGGGTGGCGGCAAAGTGGCGACTGGCTGGGAGGGCTTCGTTGGACCGGGGACATGATGCTCTTCGGCAGGGTGGTCGAGAGAAACCGGCAGGGAGTTGGATTCGCCAACCCCTGCTGGAGGCGACGCCGACGAACCTGGGTCAGGTGGTATGTGCATGTCGGCAGACATGAAGCGACATTTGGGTAGGGAAACACAACCTTTCTCTGTCACCTACTGGAGGTGCGAGAGGGACGTCAGCCTTATGTACCGACGTGCAGTCAGTTTAAACACTTCCGAGTCCGATGAGGGGCGTCAGATCCGCGGCCCCCAAGTTTCGATTACGACATACTAAGGCTCAACGATTACGCCTCGGGGGGTGACCAGGCTATGCCGTCCTGTTTTTGACACCGACAGTTCGAATCACCTAGGCTGACAGGCCAGTGCCGGGCATCATTGGCTCGCGGCTTGCGGTTCAACCAGTTATGTTCAAGACGGTATCAAGCCACTGGCGTGAAAAACCCCCGTCCTCAGCTCACCTGCCTGATCGCCTGTGACCGGCGATGCCGTCTTGCATAGAGAACTGTGTGGAAAAGGGGTCAACACGCTCGTCACAACATCGGTACGATTTGCTTCACTTGATTCAAATGGAGAGATGGCCTTCCTGTGAGGGTCGAGACTGTGCTAGAGAGGTTGAAATGCCTTTTAGATGATTGGCCCTACAGATCAGCAACGGCTGAGTCATCCTGCACCGGCCGAACCGATCCGAGCCGCCACCATCAGCCGGACTCTTTACATCACATCCTCGGTGGGTAGAATTTGTCAGATGCCTTCGTTACAACCAAACCCACGTTGACCTGGCCGCTCCACCGCATTGTATCAATATGGCCTCTCTCCGGTGCGCGAAACCAGCATCGAGTGCAGGACTGTTTGTCCAGCTCGCCAGACGCACGTTGACTTCCACCGCCACACCCGTACTCGACATCCTAGCTCCACGATGGAGTCGACAGACCGCTCGCCTCGAGGCTGCGTACAGCACCACGACACACCGCGCATGGTGTGACAAACATGCAGCAGCAACACATACAATGACAAACTCTCGAGCCCGTCTTCTGAAGAATATCGGGCAGAGGAGAGCTTTTTCGCACCTCCCCGCACGACAAGCTACGGCCTGCGTCCATAACCTTCAGGTGGACGAGGACGGAAAGGAGATGCGCCTCGAAATCACCGATCGTGCTGGCAAGGTACCTACTTGACCTCATGTATGCCACCTAACTGCATCCGTGTGCTGACAGACTACAACAGCGCCTGTCCCAAATCATGCAGAAGGATAAGAACCCGGACCTCGCGCTACGCATCCAGGTTGAGAGTGGTGGCTGCCACGGCTTCCAATACCTCATGAGCTTGGTCACCCTCCCGCCAGCAGAGGGGAGCGACGGACATGTGTCGGCGGCAGTGGGCGAGGACGACAGTATTTTTGAGTACGCTGAGGGGGAGGAATACACAGCAACGTCACCGACGCCGGGAGCGCCCAAGATTGTGCTCGACCAGCCATCACTCGACCTGCTCAAGGGCAGCAAGGTCGACTTTACGATGGAGCTGATTGGGTCGCAATTCAAAATTGCGGACAACCCCCTGGCGACAAGCAGCTGCGGATGCGGCACGAGCTTTGATATCAAAATGTAGCAGTATTGTAGTTGTATCAACAAATATCATGGCGGTAACAAACATATTGGATGAGGAGTCACTTCGGATTGATCGAGACTACCAAACAGCACGCACAAGAGGGTGGACCCGGTAATGAAGTCTGAAAAAGCTCAATTTCACAAATCCCCTTTTGTGATCGTAACGCCGTGCGACCATGAATCATAAAGCCCTTGGTATTTTTCTCAACCTATCAACAGAGACGACCCAAACCCAGTCCACAGTGAAGGGACCAACGCTTAGTTCATCTGGCGGATGAGGGCGTTGATCTTCTCCTCGCGGTTGCCAAGGTCACCACCCTCGATGAAGTGCTTGAACTTGCGGGGGCGGAAGCCACCAGTGGGGTTGGAGAGCTTGAAGGGCCACAGGAAGTTGGCGGCCTGCTTGAAGTTGGGGCCGACGGTGTAGATCTCGTGGATGAGATCCTCCATGCAGATGATGCCGTACTTGCCGAGGTTCTCCTCAATGATGGAGTTGTCGGTGAGGGCAATGCGCTGCTTGTTGACCTTGCCGTATCCACGCTTGTAGATGAGCTCCTTGATGGACTTCAGGTTGGGGTAACCGTAAGCGACCCAGGGCTCGATGACCTTGATCATCTCAGTGGTGGCCTTGGTGACGCGGATGAAGACACCGTTGTTGATCTGGAGGAGACGCAGGAGCTGGAGGATCTTGCGGGGCTTGGGGGCGATCTTGTTGATACCCTTGATACGGATAAGGAAGATCAGGTTGGCCTCGGCAGGTACGTAGGCAGAGTCGCTCTCGCGGGCGACGCGAGAAAGGCGGACCTTCTCGCGCTCTTGCTCGCGGTACTCCTGGACGTACTTCTCGGCACGCTTGAAGATGACCTCACGCTTCTCCTTGTTGTTCTGATTGATATTGTTAGTCCATGAGCTTCTCCAGAAGTGAGAGTAGGCAAATGTGACAGTGTCCGGTAAATATCAGACCCGAAAGAAGATGTAATTTTAAACAACAGCAGCGACACCAAGTGTCTAGTCGATTGGGGTATTTTATGCATCATGAAAATCCAGAGGGGAGCTGGGACCAGGGCAAACTCACGGTCTTCTTCTGGTCGTTGGCGGCGTTGCGCTCGGCACGAGCCTTCTCTTGCGACTTGCGCTTCTTAAGAAGGGTCTCAGGGACCAGGATCTGCTCCTTGGTGGGGACGGAACTAGAGGACGAGATTAGTACGTAGTCCGGCATACCGTAGTATGGAGCAGAGCGCCGGTGCGAGAATTGCAGCAGTGCGCGACATTCTCGCCTTGGCTAACTCGAGTTGATGTATTTGATCGGTAAGCCCTTAATTAACAAGACTCGTCTCCGGTAAGGAGGGAGTCTTGTCAAGCCGACGCTTATCCGACAACATCTCAGGTTCAAGCTGAGGAGGTGTGCATGCTTGGAATGTGACTGCTCGAAGAGCCTTTCGGCGTCATGGGCAGTCACCAAACAGCAATGTATTTAGAGGAGAAGATTTCTTTTCATCCCCAACACCCCGAGACATCGTCTCTCAATCCGCAGGCTGTGTTCCAAACCTGCAAGAAGGAGGGAGATGCTCGAGAAGAATCGAGCTGGGAGAGCCGAGTCTCACCACATGGTGAAACTGGGAATCCAGTTGAGAAGACCACGACAATCTGCATTCATCGCCATCCAGGCGTCGTAGGGAAAATCATGGGGAGCGGTAGACATACGAGCCAGCCATTGCGATTGTCGGTCGAGGGTGTCGAGGGTGATTGTCGATGGTCGGAGTCGGGATGGAGAGGGACGAACAAGAGGAGAAGAAAAGGCGTCAAGAAAAGTGAAGCGATGTGGATGGGGGCCCTAGGGCGGTCAAGGGAAAGAGTGGAGCCTTTTTCCTGCAGAAAAAAAATCGCTTAGGTGGTGCGGCGAACGAATTGGTGGGTGGGTGGTTTTTGGCAGGTAGGGTTGAAGCCCCATTTTCGGACTGGCGGTCAGTGCTCTGACTCTCTGTTCTACCCTACCAGCGAAACCTCGAAACAGCCCATCGCCAACCCTCACAAACGACGACCTCATCCCTCTTTGACAGAGTCACCAGAACGACAAGATGGCCCCCAAGTCCAAGGCTCCCCGCGCTCCCCAGGAGAACATCTCCCTCGGACCTCAGGTTCGCGATGGTAAGCTTTCACGTCTGCGCCGTGCAAGAGCCGCCTTGTCGCAGCTCCCCCGCCTTGGGAAACTTTTCACGATGCTAATACCACATCTTCTCCAGGCGAGCTCGTCTTCGGCGTTGCCCGCATCTTCGCCTCCTTCAACGACACCTTCGTCCACGTCACCGATCTCACGTTCGTCTCCCCCTGATTGCAGCGCCGCGCCAATGCTGTACCCCGCGAAAGCGACCAGCTTGGGCGGTTGCTGCTGAAGAAAACATACCCTATCACGCATGTCACGGTTGAGAGGCTAACCTGGGTGATTCCAGTGGCCGTGAGACCATCTGCCGTGTCACTGGTGGCATGAAGGTTAAGGCCGATCGTGACGAGTCCTCCCCCTACGCCGCCATGTTGGCCGCTCAGGACGTCGCTGTCCGCTGCAAGGAGCTCGGCATCACCGCCCTCCACATCAAGATCCGCGCCACCGGCGGTAAGTCCAGGTATCCGCTCCATCTTTAAAGATGCATTTGCTCACGCAGCTTTCAGGTAACGGCACCAAGACCCCCGGCCCCGGTGCCCAGTCTGCCCTCCGCGCCCTCGCCCGTTCCGGCATGAAGATTGGCCGCATTGAGGACGTCACCCCCACCCCCTCCGACTCTACCCGTCGCAAGGGTGGTCGCCGTGGTCGTCGTCTCTGAGCGACAGACACAATCAAAAAATGGTGTCTGGCATCAGAGTCGTCGAGTGGGGACGGCAATGGTCAGGAGTGTGCTCTGCGGATTGGTCTCTTGGGTGGCATCGTCAAAAACGAGGGGAACGGCACTTTTTGCCTGGTCTCCATGTTCTACGCGCTTTTGTCGCGTCTTTTCGGCCGGCTGTAGCTGAAAAGTAGACAGAATAGAAATGCGCCGTATGGCCCTGAACTGAAGAGCAGCTCCTGATACATCACACCTGTGCCTTGTCGCCCACTCTCTCGGTGAAAGTGTTATTCGAACGAGTTTAGCCTGTAGTTTCAACTGGTTTTTTGAGGTCCATTCAAATAAGCAGAAGGTGTTATGGTCTCTACCTGACCGGGATATCTTAGGACTGCTACGAAGCTCCTGCCGTGACGTCCTACCCATCACTCATCGTCTCAGCTCAACGCCTGGCCCGCTCATTTGTAAGCCGGCCGCAGAGACCATGTGCTGCGACCAGCGCCTCCGGACTTGTTGATCTTAGCGACCCTCTCCAAGGCCTCCATAAATTGCTCCTTCACCTGCGCCTTGCCCTTTACCTCGTGGTTGAAGTGATCTACTATCGACTTCGTAGGTACCGTGCCACTGTGCCGCTTGATGAACTCAATGATTTTGGGCCCAAAATCTACGGCTTGCACTTTCTGTCCAACAGGAGACGGCGATGCGCCCATGCCTTGCCGGGCAGCAAGACCACTCATGATGCCAGCACTGCTCGGTGCTGCGCCGCGACGGCGGTTGTGTGCACCAGGACGTCCTGCTTCGCCAACTTCGCCGGTCCAAGTAACTGTTCCCGGGGTAATGGTGCGCGCCTGGACATGCGCTCGGCGTAAACTAGCTGCGGCTGTGGCTGCGACGGCATTTGCCTCTTGCGTGATCATTCCGCGATCAGCCTGCACTGTCTTCTTGCCATTCATGACCTTGTCGTGTTCATAAGCGCTCTCGACATTGCGAGCAAAGATGCCTTCTACCATGCGCTTCTCGTCCTCCATCTCTTCTGGGTTGTTTGTCTCTTCCATGCCCTGGACGCCATCGATATTCTGAACTTCACGCGTTTCCTCGCTGCCAGTCTGGGGTTTGCTTTCGCTGCTCACGGATGAGATTGGTACTAGACTGGCAGGAGCATTCTCTTTGGGAGGTGTGGTTCCGTCGAATTTGACTTGGGCATCTTTGAGAATACTGCTCCGGTCGATATTACCCTTGCTGTCTTGGGAGTTGCCGAATGTGAAGAGGTCGTAAAGATCCGATAGATCGAAAGCAGCTCGCTGCTTAGGGTCTTTCAACACCTTGTTTGTCATGAATTGCTTGAAGATTTGGCGATGATAGATCTTCTCCTCAATAGTGCCAGCAGTCATGAGACGGTAGATTTCAACAGAGCGAGTCTGTCCAAGGCGCCATGCTCTCTCACGAGCCTGCATGTCTGTCGAAGGGTTCCAATCAGGATCAAAGATGATGATTCGGTTTGCACCCGTCAGATTGACTCCAAGACCACCAGTACGGGTTGTCAGGAGGAAGATGTCAATCTCGGGATCCGTGTTGAACCGATCAATGAGACTCTGTCTCTTCTCGATGGAGGTTTCGCCGTCCATGCGAACGTACTTGACTGTCTCAAGACCACCCAGGAATTTCTCGATGACATTGAGCATCATTTTGCTCTGTGAGAAGAGCAGTGTCTTGTGGCCAAGCTTTTTCCAGATTTGGAGGAGATTCCGCACAACTAACATCTTTCCTGATTTCTCAGGGTCTCCCCAATCGTAGCCTGCCTTGTTTTGGAGGTGAGGGTCAATAAGGTCAGGGTGATTGCAGATTTTGCGCAGAATATCAATACCATAAAGGGATTTCCGTCGGGCGCTTAGAATCTGGTTAACCGCATCAGAATTCAAAAACTGTTTGTAAGCTTCGAGCTGCCTATCTGTCATCTTGCAGAACAGGACCCGTTCTGTCTTGGAGGGAAGGTCGGCGGCGACGTCAATTTTGAGCCGCTGCAGGAGGTATTGGCTGATGGCTTCTTTGAGAGTCTCGGCACATTTTTCAGCTGTCAGGATTTGCAGATTCGTAGCACCAGCATAACCGCCCTGCTTGATGGGCACCTCAAACTGGGTACGGAACGTAACCAGAGTGCCCAGTCGCATAGGGTAGATGAAATCGAAAAGCGACCAGAGTTCCGAAAGATTATTTTGTACAGGGGTGCCCGAGAGGATGATTCGGTTGGGAGTCCGCAGCTCCTTGCACAGAACTGTGATCTCGGCGTTGGGATTACGGATCTTGTGGCCTTCATCGAGCACTGCATAATCCCACTCCACGTGGAGCAGCTCGTCTTGGTATGTCTGGAGACCGTTGTAGGTAGTCACTAGCACGTGTCCATGCTTGACCACTCTGTCAACAATTTTGCGGACAGACTTATCACGCCTCCCGCTGTGTGTCTCCTCGTCTGTGTCATCCTCACGCAGGTTTATCATGCCGCTTCCTGAAGAGTGGAGGATGGAAACACGTAGAGCCGGCCACCAGCGGTGGAATTCATTCACCCATTGACGCAAGACTGTGGCGGGTGCAACAATGATGACGGGTTTGGTAAGCTTCTTGCTGTAATGTAAGGCCGCAATGAAGGCAATGGCTTGTACTTTTTGACTTGTCAGCATGGGTCGACTCAAGACTTCAGAATCGGTTTACCTGTCTTGCCAAGTCCCATCTCGTCCCCGACGATACCCCCGACGTTTTGCGAATACAATTCGGCCAACCACTGAACACCAGTCTTTTGATATGAAAAGAGAGAGGGATGTATGTCGCCGGGAAGCCTGAGATCATCATTGATCACATAGTCCTCCTCATCTGGCGAAGGCTTGGACCATTCCGGGCCGCTGGGTTCCACTGACGTATCCCCAGCTTCTGATCGTCGCTGTTTCCGAGCTTCGCTCCGTCTCTCGGTCCAGTCTGCTAGACGCTCTTGGTACGAACGCTCGTTTCCATCGTCAATACTGCTCAAATCAACCTTGTCCGTTGTGGCTGCAGTCTTCTTGCCTCTAGCCTTGGTCGTTCGCTTGAGGTTGCGCGAACTGGTATCATCCTCTGATGTGTAGGCTGCAGCGGATTCTGGCGACGGCGCATTCGATGCGTCAGCCGAGGTAGGGTCAAAATCATCGTCAGAATCAGCTTGCTTGACCTTCCTCTTCTTCCGGGGACGTAAACTGAATTCTGTTTCCACGGCGGCAGGTGCGGGTGCGGCATCCGCAAACCCCGGGCGACGCAGAATCTGGTGCGAGGTGGGCTCTTTGTCGTTGGCTGCCAAAGCCTCTTCCTTGGCCTCGTCCTCGGCTTCCAGCAGCGTGTCGGCAAAGTCGCCTTCGAACCCTTCAGGGCGAGGGCCGCCAATGGAGGCAAATGGCGTGATCTTTCCGGTCCGCACCAAGTAGTCGCGGCGGCTCTCATTAGGCAGCTTCAGCGACTTCCCCTGCGCAACTTCCTGTTCGGCGGCGGCCACCTCTTCCTGGCGGCGCTCCAGACGAGCCTTAAAATCAGCCACGTCACCGTCAATTTGTCTGATCTCCAGCTCGAGCTTGTCGAGGGTCTTCTGGATATTGCGTGACTGGAAGACATTGTTGCGGTTGGCTTCGAGCTTCTCACGTTCCTTCCGCCGTTGGGCCTCAAGTCTCGTCTTGCTAGCCTCGAGCTTGTCGATTTTGGCCTGGTCATTCTTATCCTGTTGTTCCTTGATGGCTGCATTGGCCTGGAGGCCGATGTCTCTCTCGATATCTTCTTGATCTCGAACATCGGCGGTGAGGTTGCGGAGGGCAGCCTCCTCATCCAGTGTGTCGTCGGAAGCCATGGCAGTTGAAATGTGTGTGATGTCAGACCCAAGGAAGTGTGCTCAAGAAACCATGAGAGTAGTGAGAGAGCGCAGATTGAATGGCGAATGGCGTCAATTCAGACGGGACCCTTCGGGTAAAACTGCTCCTGCGCGGTATAGGTTGTGCATGGGGGTGATCTGGATGAACCTTCCCTTGCTGGGATTAACCATAAGTGACAGAGAAAACGTCAGAACGATGATGCCCCGTCTCCAAGCTCGAGGATCCTGGGGAATAGGATGTCAAGGTTCAGAAAGAAGTTGTGTGTTCTGTCACCCATCTCAGGCAGAAGCAACTTCCTGCCTGTTGTTGTGTTCGAGAAAGCGCAGTCACGAAAAATATCGCCGTCGTGAATTCACAATGTAGCCTAACTTTTGTAAGCCAGAAAGACGTTTAGACACAGCATGACGCATGACAAGGGAGCGTTCGGGGAGCTGCACGGACCATGCTGCTGCCTTGTGGCCAATCAGATTTGGAACGTCGACAACAGGCATCCACCCACGGCCTTGGGTGGGATCAATTCGCATTGCTCGGTGTTGACGACCATTTGATGGAGTAACAAGACAACCAAATTTTCGCATGGCTACACAAGGGCTAGATGCAAGTATGTCACTTGAGATGCCCGGACCGTGTTCACGTTTGTGAGAGGAAACGCCAGCTCACTTCCCCCTCAGTTCTGCCGTCGTAATAGACAGCATCTTGGCCTGGTCTTCACTGGCCCAAACAGTCTGATCCATAGATATGCCGGATCAAGACCTAGAGAACTAGCCACTCTACCGATTCGCACAATTTACTCTACAGCCTTTTCCCTGCAGAGGAAGGAGAGAAAATTGGTCGTGTCCAAAAAGCAGCGTTTGGCTCTGCTGAGCAGAGCCAGAGTTGAATCCCGAGGCCCGACTATGTTGCCAACCACTCGTAACCGGTCGATCCTTCATGACAACCGACATCAACAGGATGGTTGTCAAAACAAGACAAAAGAAGTACGACGAGAGCAGGATTTGAACCTGCGCCACCGAAGTGAATAGATTTCTAGTCTATCGCATTAGACCACTCTGCCATCTCGCCCGTTGATGATGAGAGGCTAGGTCTGGAAGATTATGGTGAACCAGCAGGGGGGACAGAGTGGATGAGGACGAAGCGAAGTCTGACTGCTGAAGTAAGAAAAAAATCAGAGCGGAAAATATTGTTTGAAAAAAAAAGACAGCTTGTGGATCCCGCAAGACAGGAAAGTCGAGAAGCAGGGGAAGTAGCACGAAACAGCAAAAGGATAACGACGAGAGCAGGATTTGAACCTGCGCCACCGAAGTGAATAGATTTCTAGTCTATCGCATTAGACCACTCTGCCATCTCGCCGAATGCTGTGAAGCTGGATGCCGGATGGAGGCGGCAGCAAGAGGATAAGTAGTGGACAGGGCAAAATATGGCTTGTGGAGTCTTGTCAAGAGGAACAACGGATGAGGGCTCAGATGTGGATGCGCTGTTTTTATCTGATCAAGCGGCGTTCCGGGTCAGGGCACTCCTGGCGCAGTGGAGGTTTTTGTGGATTCGCGTGGATATGAACACGTCGAATCTGAGATGGGTGCGCGGGGTCTCGCCTCGTGAGGATGGGTGCCGGGAAGATGAGCGTATTGTAGCCGTTGGCTTCATGTCGGCAACGTCTCCGGCATTTTGCATTAACAAGACAGATGAAACGCTCCAGGTACCTAGATAGGTAGGTAGGTAGTTAGGTAGTTGATTTGTTGATCCGAGCGCGACGTACGGAGCGGCAGATCGCAGGCAGATAGACGTACCCAGAGACCGAGGTGTCGGCAAGCCACCTCAGGGCAAGGGACGCCAAGGGCCAACCGTAGCGCCCCGCGGCGCCGGGGTCTGGGGGACCGACACCCCTGAGTACCTGCCCTCGTCGCCAGCTTGGTATCGCTAGCGAGGTAGCGAGGTACCTACAAGCCACGCTACGTTCTGCCGAGGTCTCCCCTCCAGGGCCGAAGGCCGACTGCCGCCTCGTGCGAGCTGCCAGGTGGAAGGGGAAGTTGGGGAAGAGGCAGAAGAGGCAGATGGCGGCACTTCCTCTCGCTGCATTCGCTGCCGACCCCGTCTCCCCAGCATTGGAGATCGTGTCTTTGCTCTCCGCCATTAGCCTTCTTCCGTGGAATTGTCGTATCGATGGCCAGCTGCCGGTGAATATCGCATCTCTCTCTTCATCTTATTGTCATTCGTCGTCTATACCCAGCAATACAGAGCTCTCCCAGTCAGCGACCTCAGCAACCTCAGCAAGGCCATCGTACTCCCGAGCCCTCGACGCGAACCCGTTACCTCGATACTGCAGCTCTCCCCGAATATACCGACAGCCCTGGAGCAGCAAGACTAACCACGCCATCACCATGACTGAAGCAAACGCCATCACAGACCTGCCCTCTGGCGAGCCCATCGCCCCGCCGACCCCGGCACCAGCTCCCCCCAAGCTGCCCCTCAGCGCCATCCTCGCTGCGACGCCCTCCAACATTGACGCCTTCATTGCCCACCTCCACCGTTGCATGCAGACCCCTTCGGGCATCGACACGGTACTCCTCTTCATCGGCTACACGGCCCGCCTCTCTTCAAACCTCCTCGACGCCGCCAGCCGCTCGGCGCTCCACCGCTCCGCCCACAAGCTCATCACCCTCGCCTTTTCCCTCCCCGAGAGCACGACCTTGCTTCTCTCCGCCGCGCCCCAGGCCTCCCCGGTCGCGACCCTCGCCCTGCGCCTCGCCACGAGGCTGCGCGCCCTGTCCCTGCTGCTGAGCGAGAGCCGCGTTTTCCTGCGCTCCTGGGGCCTGCTGGGCATCTACTTTGCCGGCCGCCGCCTCGTGCTGCCCCTTCTCGAGAAGAAGAAGCCCCAGACCGTCGACGAGAAGACGGGCGCCAAGCCCGACACGAGCGCCGAGACGCTCGACAAGACGATTGCCTGGGCGCAGTTCATCACACTCGTGCTGTTCCAGTCGCTCGAGAACGCCTACTTCCTCAGCGGCAAGGGCGTCTTCGGCCTGACGCCGGCACAGCAGGTCAAGGCCGCGCGCTGGAGCACGAGGTCGTGGTCGGCCTACGTCGGGCTCGAGATTGGACGGCTGCTCATCGAGAGGCAGCGTCGCAAGAGCGGCGACGTGACGAGCGCGGAGCACAAGGAGTGGAAGGCCGCGTGGCAGAGGAGCTTCGTCAGGAACGTGGCGTGGGCGCCATTGACGGTGCACTGGAGCACGGCCGACGGGATTCTCAACGACACCGTCGTCTGGGCCATCGGCTGTGTGCCCGGCATTGTCCAGATGAGGCAGCTCTGGAAGGACACAGCTTGAGGATGTTAGACTATCGTACATGATAGACGGGTGCGACATGATGGGTTTGGCTCTAGAACACGGTCATGGTTTCTCAGCAGGACAAAGAACCACTTCGCTGGTGTCAGATAGCCTCTCAGAATGAGCAATCAACTTTTACGACAATACCAGGTCATTGAAATTGTACTTCTAACTACCAAACACGATCCTCTTCAATTCGCTGCCCCGAATACCAATCGCAACGCCATGTCCATGCAAAAGAGCCCCGTCAGCTCCAGCGAAACGCCAGCGCCATGCCCTTTTTATATCATGAACCCCTTCATGTCAGCAAGCGTCCAGTACCTGCGCATATTCTCCGCGCCGAGCGTCTTGACCTCCTGATCCAGATGCGTCCACAGCACACCGCCCCAGCTGTCGAGCTGCTCCAGCAGCACGCTCATCTGCAGCTCCACCTCGCCGGCCCGGCATGCGCGCAGGTACGTCTGCAGGCCCTCCATGCCCTTGTGGATCTCGCGGTGCTGCCGCAGCAGCTCGGCCTTGCCGCCGCGGAACTCGGGCATCTTGCGTGCGAGCTGCGGGAAGAAGTAGTTCTCCTCGATCGAGTGGTGCGCCTCGAGGTGCTGGATGAACGAGAGCCCCTCGCTGAGAAACTGCCGAATTGACATGCCTTGCGGCCGCTTGTTGCTCGTCGCCGCCGTGTGGAGCATGGTCCACGTTTTGCGAAAGTGGTTGTGCTGAGTCGTGTGTTAGCAAAGGCTGCGCTACAAAAA